AAATGGAAAAGTAGAACTTCATCTGCGTCCCCGAGCTCTCCGTCGTTCATCCTTATCCTCTTTTCCCCCTTTGTCCTTCCCTCTCCCTTCACCACTATAACCACAAGCCAGTGATTTCTTTAGCAATAAGAAATCGACTTCTTCAACAGTGAGAAATCAACTGTATGGCTTAGATCTAGCATGGTGATGATGAAGAAGAAGGAAACTTTGTTCTTCACGATGTGTCGGTGTACATCGAGAGCTTGATGAGCCCTGATTGCAGGGGTGGATGCTGTTGGGATTGTGGTTGCGAAGTCCAACAGAGAAGACGATGAAAGGGGTCTTCTGGTGGCGCCGGGAAACCAGAAACACGGTAAAAGCTGGCTTATGACGTCATGCTAACGCTAACGTGACGTCACAGAGGCCAGCTGATTGCTCATCACATTTTGGGCTGGTCTATGGCCTAGCTTGGGTTGGGTGCCAGCCTATTAGGCTGGGCTGGAGGGGATTGGCCGGGTGCCGGGCCATTAAGGGAGCTAGGTGCCGGCATAAAAGTCCCCAGTGGACTTGCTCTTATAAGAACAAAAACTTATATGGGTAATATTAGATGAAGGCTACATGTTGGGATAATGGATAAGGAGAATAATTGAAGAAAATGGGATAGTGGTGTGGCACAAAATAAGAAGAGAGGAAGAGATGAGGTAAAAAATAAAAATAAAAACAATAATGCCAGCTTTAAACATTAGGGTTTAGTTATGACTTTTAGGCTTGGACTTAATTAAATTTCATTTGGGTTTATATATAGGGGCTAAGTGAATTAGAAATTTTAAAAAATAAATTAACGGTGTGGTTTGATTTTGGCGGTTCTGTTAAGATGAAAACTGAAACAAGAACCGGTATGAACGGTTCAGTTTGTTCTTGAACCAAAGTTAACTTTTTGTTGTCAACTCGATTTTTTATGGTTTATTTTATTGCGGTTCCATGGTTTTTATGCCTGTCCTTATTGCCTCTCACTCTTGGTATCATCTTCCATGAGTGTGGAAGCCGTAAAGAAGGCTTCCCCCACTTCCTTTCTCTACTGTAGAGAAGCTAGATTACCCCACTTCCTCAAGTATCACGACCTTGACATGAGAGGAACAATTGATTTAAGTTTTGATCTGGTTGACGTCATGCTGACGCCAGCATGATGTTAGATCAAACTTGAACATACGATTGAATAAGAATTGCCTAACTGGGTAATTCGGCTCAATTGGGCCCACCAATTGCCCGACTTTTTGTCATGTGTTGGAGTTGGTTTTTCCAACTTTTGTCAAAATGATGGACTTGATCTTATTGGGATCCGAAAATACATACAAACGAGCCACTTAGTACTACGGTTTAATAACATTTCTCTTCATTTGTAAGTGAGAGGTCTTAGGTTTGATTCTCGCTAGAGGATTTGAACCACATTATTGATAACTCATTGTGAGGCTAGGCCTGCCTCTTCTGTTTTAGTGTAGATAATATCATTTGTTAAAAAAAAAAAAAAAAAAAAAAAAAAGCTAAATTGGATTAATAGTTCCAGAGTGATAGAGTAATCGGAAGATAATATTCATGGGGAAAAAAATCGGATTTAAACTCTCGTGGTAAATTCTATTAGGATTCAAGCCCAAAATTAACATTTCCGTCAACTCTCTGTTAACCTATTCAGCCTTCATAACCAGAAGGAGTAAAAAAAAGGTAAAACTAATGAAAAGAGCTTGAAAACTTTAAGTTTTAACGAAAATGACAAAATAAATGGTAAAGTGAATGATACCAAAATTGACTTTTTAGTGTAAAAATATGATTTTTCGTTAAAATGAATAGTATTGAGTGTTTTTCATTAAAGTTCTCTATAAAAAATTCATTCATCGAAGGTTATGAATTCCCAATCTAAAAAAAAAATCAAATCCCAACTATTTTCCCAAATTCCAAAAATATGACCAATTAATTCCGCGAGGAGAGATGTTATAGCAGAACTAGCAGATGTTAAGAAGATAACCTCAATGCTTCCTACATAGAAGAGTTGATTGCCTGACGCAATATTTGTGCCAAATGGATGCATAAGTTCCTGCATTCTCTTTGCAGCAGCTGCTTCCCTCAATGCTGCAAAGACCTGGACGACGAAATGGATAGTCTCGAAAGGTGAGAGAGGAAGAAGAGAGAGCCCATGAAGGTGAGGATTAGGGATTTGGTTTGGAGGAGCAGCATGGTATGGCTTCATAAATTTGGTGGGTTTCCTGTGGAAATTGGAGGTCATTGAATCATTTGGGTGCGCAATCAACTGGTCATATTTTTTTTTAGGGTAAATGACAAAAAACTACCTCAACTATTGGTGTCACGACACTTTCATACATCATTTTTTAAATTTGACAATGTCATACCTCATCTTTAGAATTTAGTCCAATGTTATACCTTCCGTTACTTTACCGTGAATTTTTCAGTTAAATGCTAATGTGGCTTGATTCGGGACCCACTTTCTATTAAAAATTAATAAAATATTATTAAAAACTAAAAAAAAATTATTTAATACTTTTTTAACTATTAAAAGAAAAGTTAAAAAAAAAAAAAAAATCCAACCCCCTGCAACCTAGAAAGAAGAAGAAGAAAAAAAAAACCAGTCCAGTTCGTTCCCGCAACCTAGAAGAAGAAGAAAAGGGAAGAAGAAAAAGGAAGAAGAAGAAGAAGCGGAAAAAAAAAAAAAAAAAAAAAAAACTAGTCCAGTTCGTCCCCTCAACCCAGAAAAAGAAGAAGAAGAAGAAGGAAGAAGAAGAAGAAAAAACTAAATAAATAAAAATAAAAAACAAACCAGTTCTACCCCCCTAAAAAACCCATCCCCCAACCCGCAACCTAGAAAAAATAAAAAAAAACCAAACCCAGTTCCTCCCCCCTGCCAACCCCAAATCTACCACTCCCACCCCATCACGAAGGTTTCCTGATTCCATCTTAACGGGATCTGGGTTTTTTCCTGGTTTTTTTTTTTTTTTTGGGTTGCAGGTAGTGGGTGCGGGTTTAGGGAAGACGGGAGGAGGGAAGAAAGGAAGAGGGGTCGGGGAAAATCGCGACACCATTTTATTTATTTATTTTTTGTTTTTTTGGGTTGCTGGTTAGGCTTAGGTGGGGGAGAAGAGAGGGTTGGGGTGGGGGTGGGGAGGGGGGAAGACCAATTGGTCTTTTTTTTTTTTTTTTTTTTTTTCCTTCTTTTTTCTAGGTTGTAGGAAGGGGGCTGGAAGGGGGAAGAAGATGAAGATGGGGAAGAAGAGAGAAAAGGGAGGGAAAAGGGATGAATTGAGGGTTTTTTTTTTTTTTTTTTACTTTTTTATTATTTTAATATTTAAAAATTATTAAATGATTTTTTTTTAGTTTTTAATAATTTTTTAACAGAAAGTGGGTCCCGGATCAAGCCACGTCAGCATTTAACTGAGAAATTCACGCCAAGCTAACGGAAGGTATAACATTTGCACAAATTCGTAAGATGAGGTATGACATTGTCAATTTTAAAAGATGAGGTATGAAAGTGTCGTGACACCAATAGTTGAGGTAGTTTTTTGTAATTTACCCTATTTTTTAATTTAGGAAAGTAATAAGGATTTGATTTTTCCAAATTTTGGATTCATAACTTTGGATGAATGAGTGGATGAAAATGTTAATTTTGAGATTGAATCCTAGCTGCCTTCATGTAAATATGAAGTTTTTCACCACGAGAGTTATATTTCGAATACTCTATCATTATGGTGACTATTATTCCAATTTAGCCAAAAAAAAAAAAAAAACATACAAACGCGTGGACTATTTGATTAGGGCTGTGATATCCAAAGACCTCTTTTTAATTCTCCCACATTTTTTTAGTTTTCAACCATCGAATCAGATGAATTAAAGAAGATCAATGGACAGAAATTAATAAGAGAAGTGTGAGAAGTAAAAAGGAGCGTGTGGATAGCACACCCCTTTGATTATTCATTGCCCTTCCTTTTATTGCCCCGTGTGTCCTTAGAGCAACTCCAGTTTTGCAAAGACCCCCCTAAGGCTATTCACTATTGAATCCACCCAGTGAACAGTAACTGCCCTTAATGAATAATAACTGCCTTTTACATCTCCATTCCTAAAATTGAATAGCCATGGCAATAGACAATAAAATATTATTATTATTATAAAATATTAGATTTTACTCACTAAGCAAATCCGTCCTCATCGCTCATCGTTTTCGCAGCTTGCAAATTGGTGATGTCAGATAGCTTCTTCCTCATTATGCCACCTAAAGACAATCTCTTGGCCATTTTCTTACTTCCTATACTGTTTGAAACCGATTTAAACTTCAAGATTCACAATTGGGCATTCAAGAAATGCAATTCCAACATTATAAATAGTTTTTTTTTGGGGGGTGGGGGGTGGTGTGGGGAGAAGCACTTCAAGGGCAGAGAACCCAGAATTCGAATTGGAAAATCTAAACGAACAAGCGACTTCGAAGATGACGAGGTCGTCGGAGATGAAGCTTGTGCCATCGAAAATCGAGGTCGAGGAAGACGGGGTTCAAATGGAGGGCGACATCAATGAGCTTGGTTTGATTGGTGAATCGGATGACAGAGCTCGTGGTTCTTCGATTGAGGTTCGAATATGAGGCCTCTTCACGATTCTGAGTAAGGGGTGATGAGAGAGAGAGATAGAGGAAGCAAGCAGCGAGGAGCAGAGGAGCAAGAAGTGAGCCATAATGTTAGCTTTGCATCATCTCCACCTTGGGCTCTCGGACCAGCGATTCTTGCCGGGCCTGTCGCTCGGGCCCCCTCTGATGTTGAAGCCCGCACAGGCTGGACTTGATCGCCCTAGCAATTTGCTCCTGTGCAATCCACGGTCCATCGGGCTAAAGGCCCCGCTAGACTTTTGCTCTTACAAAAGATTAAACAAGACCATGCTTTGAAGTTTCTAACAAATCTGAGGGGTATAAATGTAATTTTAAATCCAGACACCTTCCTCATACGATCCCATTGCACAGTAGCGAAAACAGGTCGCCCCTCAGACATACGAAATTTCAGAAACTTGAACGTTCACATTTCCTCTCAGATCTTCCCAGCTCAAGGCACCAAAATTGAAAAACCCTAATTTTGCTACTCCACCGTACTCGAATCTTCATCAGGTATCCATAATCTTCCTCTTTCACTTCATTCACTCTCACAATCCACTGATCCATCACTGCCATTTACTAATCAATATTCTCCGGGAAATACGATCGGTTTCTGCCGCCATTGTTGATTTCGATCAGGAAATTCGTAAGAAAACAGCGGAATCTGTAAATAAAGGCAGTTGAATTTGATTTTTTCCGGATCTGTTTTTTATTTATTTGGTTTTTTCATCATTTTTGGGGTTTATGATTTGAATTGTTTGCATATGGCAGTGATTGATTTTCAATTTACCGGGAAATTGAGTGGAAATGCAGCGCGCTCCGGCAACGATCGAGGAACAGTTGTTACTGAAAGCAATCAAAGAAGAATGCCCGTGGGAGAGTCTCCCGAAACGGCTTCAAGTCACATTGTCTTCCAAAGAAGAATGGCACAGAAGGTTAGAGTAGCTAATGCTTTTGCCATTCTTCTCTTTGTAATAGGCGGTTAAAGTACTTCGGACTGTGAATTAAATGATAGTTTTGGGTTCATAGTTTAATGTTTTGTCGAGAAAGTGGTAGGACTGGAATGTCATATTTCATAAAAAAGTTTACACTAGTAGTTTAGTAGACGAATTAGGTTTTAAAATAGTGTGGTTTTGTACTTGGTTTCTGGTATTGGCTTAAATTTGCTAACTCCGTGCAGGGTAATTGAGCATTGCATAAAGAAACGACTCCCATGGAACACTTGTTTTGCTCGGAAAGTGTGCAAAGAAAGTGAATATTATGAAGACATGATGCGGTACTTGCGAAGGAATTTAGCAGTGAGCTTCTTACTTTTGAATTTCATTCGAAGTCCATTCTTTGAATTGGTCTGAGTTGAGTTGCATTATTAGTTTACATGCTAGGGAAGCCTCTTTCTTTCCGATAATGAAAAGAGCTACACTACAACTTCAGTTTTTTGGAGACCAACTGGAGAATATTTAAGTTTTGAATTTTCGATTTTGATTCTGCATTTATTTGGGTTAAAAACTGTTTATGTAAACAACTAGGATGAAATTGATACTTTGCTTCGTCCTTTCATTTTCATATGAATTTATTCAGCCATCAGAGCAATATAGGTTTTTATTTTTTGGTTTTATTTAATAGGTTTCTGCAGTTAATGTGTTTATTTTATTACTTGCAGCTATTTCCCTATCACCTTGCGGAGTATGTTTGCCGTGTAATGAGGGTATCCCCTTTCAGATATTACTGCGATATGATTTTTGAAGTTATGAGAAATGGTATTAGTTTATTTACCAAATCCTTTCCTAGTATGCTGAAGTTTCCTGCTATTTACTGTTTTTACTGTGATTTGTATGACAGTTTCTCTTAGAAATAGGTGTCTTAGCCATTTTTTAATTTTGCAACACTCTTATTTGTTAGAATAATTGTCTGATTGAAGGTATAGTTTATGGATTTCGTCTGCTGGAGCAATGATTGATGCATATAAACTATAAACTGTGTTGGAACTATTAATTGTTGTCATATGGCTTTCAAAGATTTTGTGTCCTGCTTATGCAGTATAAATTTAAATTATTGGAGACCTAAGCTTCAAACTTAACACAATTTATCATAGGTACATTTTTTATGTATGCTAATGAAGATTTTTAACTTCTAAGTAAGAAACTTGTCGCAAGGGCGTGAATTTGGCTAAAAGAAGCTACTTAAATGGGTGATGATGCTTATTAGTTTACAAGTCTCTATATATATTTATATAGGTATACGAAAGGGACAGTGTTACTTTAGCAACTAGGATTTGAAGTATCGGTTATATCCAGGACATATCTGGTGGAGTAGCGTATCTGACATGCAAGATCTAAAATTTTTGGAGTATCCATGCTTCACAGGGATTAGATTACGGATTTTTTTTGTTGGAAAGGATTGATTGTATCACTAGAGATCTAGAAAAAGCAATAAGTTGAAAGAGCTAATTGGTCTTACATGTGATTGCTTAGTATGCGAGTAAAAGACGCAACAAAACATTACATTATTTTCTCATCAGATGTACAAAATTTAACTTAGAGTATGCCCTTCAATTACATTGCATTTAAAAAGAAAAAGCAGAAAATAAAAGAGAATCTGGTGCTGATACAGCTTGATCAAGTTGAACAAGTGTGCTAAGAGTGTGTTTTGTGAAATATTTATTCACTGAGACACTTCATCAGCTTATGCTTATTCTCATGCATATCACATTTTTTGCAGAACAACCTTACGACAGCATCCCCAATTTTAGTGCTGCAGATGCCTTGCGCCTTACAGGGATAGGGAGAAATGAATTTATTGATATAATGAACAAGTGCAGATCTAAGGTATTAATCAATTTGCTCGTTTTGTTTATGGTCCATGTTACGGTGCATGCATAGTGCATACTTGGTATCTAGATTGGATACAAACATTGCATGGCACCCCGGCATATATGAAGTATCACTATTTATGAATTCTTTGGCATAGTTTAGAGCAACTACACCTTATCTTACAAATTTTCAGTCCAACCTTTCTTTAATGCAAGACATCCTAGGGGATAAAAAATTGAAGTTTGCATTTGTTTATTATAGTCTCCAAATTTGGAGACTTAGGAGCTGGCATCCCTTAAGTATTTCCTGTTCATCTCTTGCAAATTGTACATTTAAATTAGATGAATTTCTAGAGTTTTCAGATGAAGGTCTGTACTCTGCTGCTCTGCATCACAAGATTAAATTGATTTAGGTCATGCATAATGAGCTGTGTGTCAACTGTCATTTGCCTTGTAATTTTATTCCTATTAATGCTAGACATACTGTTTAGTTTCTTCTATATAATTTTATGATGGCAATGCATATTTTTACCTTAAAGAGTGCTTCAGCTTTAGGCACTATATAGTTACACAACAAAATGGAACTTCATATTCTCTTACCCGTTGTTTACTTTATTTTGAGCTATCCAGAAAATTATGTGGAAGCTGAACAAGTCAATTGCAAAAGAACTTTTACCTACACAACCTGTGGATTTTACAATTGAACCGTGGTGGGGAATTTGTCTTGTGAATTTCACGCTGGAAGAATTTAAGGTGAGAACTGCAAAACGACAATGTCATTAGATATGTGCTTTTTGGATGACCTTACAGTAATTTCCCATATTTGTAGAAACTCTCGGAGGAGGAAACGGCAACAATAGATAAAATATGTAAAGAGGAAGCAAATTCATATATTCTCTTCGATCCAGATATTATTAAAGGTCTTCACCAACGAGGATTAGTATACTTTGATGTCCCTGTATATCCTGATGACCGTTTTAAAGGTAAGTTGTATGGATGAACAATTGGCATACAAATTCTGACCTTTTTGATTTCATCTTCGTATACTGCCTCATTGGATTAGACGCCCAAATATTTACATGGTTTTACCTTCCAAACCTACACAAATGGTTTATGGTCATTGACTCATTGATCAACTTTTATTTTTATTTTTTTTGATTTGGAGCTAGCATTTGTGTTCATTGTTTTTCTAGTCACTATACAGTTCTATATACTGATAGTTGTGCCAGTACGGAGTTTCAACATATAATCCTATACTTCCTTTTTTAACTTTTCAAGTATTTGGTGAAGCCCAAACTTTTAACCAATCGTACTTCTACCCAACTCCTTACCATCTGAGCCAAAACCTAGAGTATAAGTGCCTTCTCTCTTTCATCATTTATTCTAAATAAAACTGTGAATGGACGTACATGCCGAACTCCCACCAATCCCACTAAGAATGAAACTGAACTTCTAATGTATTGCGCTAAGGAGACAAAATTCTATATGGTGGTGGAATATTGTGATGAAATATTAATAAATGTTCTCGTTCAGTTTCCAGGCTCGAAGGATTTGTTTCGAACAGGGAGCAATCTTATGAAGATCCTATAGAGGAGTAAGGAAGTTGTTTAGTACAAAGATACCTTAATTGTTAGTTTGTCATTTGAATTTTGTTTCGTGGCAGTGGAACCAGGATCATAATACTCTACGCTCTATTGTTCAGGTTACTATATGCAGTTTTTGTTGTTTCAAGCGAGTATGCAACTGTTGCTGAACTGGCAACAACATTACAGGCTGACCTTTCACAGCTGCAGGCTGCTGCATCTTTTGCATGTCGATTGGGATGGGCGGTAAAAGTATTTGATCCAGCATCTGTGCTTCAAGATACAAGTTTACCTGGATCTCCTAGAAACAGTCTCAGTGAAGAAGATACTTCTGGTCGTAGTACAAGCTCAGCAATTATGTTTGCCGATGGTGAAGCTAGTCTACAAGGAGATGTTTCGGGGACAGAAAACTCTTTGCATGATCGTGTTGCATTTGTTGTTGATGCTAACATAACATCCTATCTTATGATGGGGTCTGTCTCACCAGGTTTGTTTCTTCTTCTCAAGACTGAATTAGTTTATTATATTGAATACCATCAACTTCTGATCTGCAGTCTGAATTTTGCTGACATACTAGTCATGTGGTTGAAATAGATAAGGTGGGTTGTCTAAGCAGTTGTGCTTGAAACCTTACCTTAAGATAGATATCAGTTTAAATGTCTGCAAGTGGTACCAGCATGTTCTTTACAGCTGCTGTACCAGTTCATTGGGAGCTCTCAGCATCTATAGTGTCTCGTACAATTTTTCTTTATGTGCTGGCTTTCCTCAAAGTGGCACTACAGTTTTCATGAACTCATTTTTCTCTGTCCTAAAATTTATCCAATAAGTACTATAGTGATGGTAGCCTTTCACATAACCTTTCACAAGTCGGCTTCTCAAGCGAAAAAGTGGAGGTTATTCTCATTTTGGTGGAATGTGCTTGAGTTGGGAAGTGGCATAGACTCCCTCTCAGAATCTGGCTTACACATGGGAGAACAGGCGTTCTTGAACTCAACTATTAGTTTTGCTCAATCAGCTTCGTTAAAGTCTTTAAATAATGTTCGTATTTCTGCTTGAAAGTTTAAGCAGTTGTCTACAATTCTTTGTAATCTGGAAGCCAACTTAAGCATAATGCCTTACACAGCCTGATATTTTATCATTATGCCAGACTTGCGCAGCAACCAAACTTTCCTTGCCATCTTGCATGAAACATCAGATGGTGCCATAACTGACTTTAACATTGCGTCAGTTGTAACATCATTTGTTATTTATCTCCCATTTTTCATGAGTAGGATAACGATTCAATTTTCTGCTTGAAAGTTGCTGGAGCTTACTGCTTCTATACAAAGGGATTAGCTCAACTTAATTGGATGACTTATCAGTGTCAGGAGTAGTACCGCTTGGGCATTATATTCAAATCATGAAAAGGAGAGATTGCCACTTGGTACTATGGTCTAGTGGTATTCCTCTTCACTTGTAAGTGAGAGGTCTTAGGTTTGATTCTCGCCAAAGGCGAAGTTGAACCATATTATTATGGCAAGCCTATTGTGCCCACTCCCCTATCACCTTAGTGTATACTATCGTTTGTTCAAAAAAGAAAAAAGGAAAAAAAAAAAAAAAGAGAGATTGAATTTTGAATTGTCTTGTTCTCTTAGAATAAGGGAATACCTTTTCGAGGGGAAGAGCTGCACTGTTATCTCCTTCGGCGAGAAACTTGATCAAATTTATTCCAGAGTTGAGTTCCTTTGAAATTGCATACTAGTGGACCAGCAGACGTTCCATAAGGGATGAAACTGCGACCTGTCAACGATTGCCAAAGGTTGTACTATTCATTGGAATACTTAAGAACATTGTGAATGTCTTTGATAGCTAAAGGCTTGTCCCATCTTGGAGCTATAAGCCTCTGTTCCACGTTCCAGTAAGCAATCTATAAAAAGAGTTAACCATATGAAATTTGTAGAAGGCTTTACATGAGTTGCCAATGATGTACAGCAGAGGAAAATGTGGACCTGATAGAACGAAGGAAATTGAAGAACTGATATGCATCAAATAGATCCTAATTTTTCCGTGTAGTATAAGTTTCATGTAGGATGGAGAGTAAGAGAAAGCAAGAGGAGATATCTGGACTCAATTCAAATTTTGGCATCACACAAGAAGTTTTCGTTTTTTGGATTCACTTCGAGAGAGAATGGAAAAATTGTGGCATCAGAGCCAATGGTGTCTTGGGCTCATGCCTAGTCAACTCACCATTTGCAAGCAAGTTCAAACTGACAAGACCTTTAAGTTCTTTCTCTGTTCACTTCAAGGCTTACAAAGTACGTGAATTGTTGAAGGACAAAATTAATATGCTTAGGATTCTAAAAGACATAATAGATAACACCTAAGGTATTGTTCATGTGACGTAGAGAGGCTCAAAGACAATGAATATTACACTACAAAAAATAGACCTGTACATTTAATTTGCATAATTACAAAAAGAATATCAATCATGTGGTGCTTGTTACTTGATAGGATTATTTATCATATTTGAAAATTGGTACTTGGTACTTCGTGTAATTTGCATTAATTACATGAAGAATATCAAGCATGACGTAAAGGCTTGCAGATTAAATTTTTATTCATGTACAAAAAGTTGTATTTGTGCTTTGTTGAAAATGTTGTGTTTGTGCTTTGTATCAGTCATCATCTGCGTTTCATGCTTTTATATGTTCTTCCAATCTTGAGTCTTATACTTGAATATTTTATGCATTTTGATTTCTCGTATTTTCTTTTAGGCTTGAAATCGCATGCTGTGACACTGTATGAAGCAGGAAAGTTGGGTCATACTAGTATTACAGATCTTTGTAAGGATCTGAGTACACTAGAGGGGACAAAATTTGAAGGAGAACTACAGGAATTTGCAAATCATGCATTTAGCCTCCGTTGTGTTTTGGAATGCCTTCAATCAGGAGGAGCTGCAACTGATGTGAAAACAGAAGAAGTTTGCAAGAACATGGATATGATGGCATCAAACAATGATGCGGCCACGCTCATAGCTGACATATCTGATGTCACCTTGACTAAGAAATCAGAACACTTAGCTACACATGAAGTTGATGTCGATGATGATATTTCTGTGAAATCAGGAATACCTCAGGAAGGTTCTGTTTTGGCTGAACCTGTTACGGATAGAGAAAGTGATGAAATATTAATTGGTACGTTATCAGAAGATATCACCAGCTTAACTGAAGTCCCTAAACCAGACTTGAATCTCCAGAATAATGAGAAACCGATACATGCTGAAGGGTTAGATGTTGGAAGAGAAATTTTAAAGAAGAAAAAGAAATTCCGAGTGGATATCCTTCGCTGTGAAAGCTTGGCGTCTCTTGCAACAGCAACGTTAGATCGGTTGTTTCGTCGTGACTATGATATTGTTGTATCTATGATTCCTCTTCCACCTTCGTCAGTACTTCCTGGACCAGCAGGTCCTATTAATTTTGGGCCTCCCTCGTATTCATGCATGACACCTTGGATGAAATTAGTTTTGTACTCAACTGTGGCATGTGGACCCCTCTCTGTTGTTCTGATGAAAGGACAATGTTTACGCTTACTTCCTGCCCCGCTGGCCGGTTGTGAGAAAGCCCTTTTGTGGTCTTGGGATGGTTCTACAATTGGAGGGTTGGGAGGCAAGTTTGAAGGAAATCTAGTGAAGGGAAGTGTACTTTTACATTGTTTAAATTCACTTCTGAAATATTCTGCTGTACTAGTGCAGCCCCTCAGTAGATATGACCTCGACGAATCTGGAAGAATCATCACCATGGATATTCCATTACCCTTAAAGGACTCTGACGGTTCAGTTGCTTGCATAGGGGAGGAATTGGAACTAAGTGAGAAGGAAAGTTCAAAACTGAATTCTCTCTTATGTGATATGGCAAACAAGATAGAGTTATGGACAGTTGGCTATATTCGCTTATTGAAACTTTATAAAGAAAGAGATTCAGAACACTTTGCACCTGATGATGAGAAGTATGAATGGGTCCCATTGAGCGTCGAATTTGGAATGCCACTGTTTAGTCCGAAATTGTGCAATAACATATGTAAAAGAGTGGTCTCGTCGCAATTACTTCAAAAAGATTTACTTACTGAGCATCATGATGCAATGCAAAGCTTAAGGAAAAGGTTGCGTGATGTTTGTGCAGAGTACCAAGCAACAGGTTCTGCTGCCAAACTTCTTTACCAAAAGGAGCAATCAAAGGACTTCTCACGACATCTCATGAATTATGCTAGTGGAAGGTGGAATCCACTTGTCGACCCATCCTCTCCCATTTCAGGAGCCTCGAGTGAGCATCAGAGACTAAAACTTGCTAACCGACATCGTTCCCGAGCTGAAGTTTTGAGCTTTGATGGAAGCATTCTAAGGTTTGTCTCAAACTCTTCTCTTCTATATTTGCATCTTATTCCTTTCCCTAACATCTATATGTTTAGTATTACAGCCAGATTTTCATTTATAGTATTCACTATTTGCTATATGATCCTTCAACTGTACATTGCATTTTTACGTTTGTGCTTTTCTTTGGACACAATGATACTTCCCACTTACAAGTATCTTACCCTAATCCCCATGGTTCTTCATTGAAATGAGTGTCGGACATGAATGGAGAAGAGTATCCTATTCTAAAGTGTCTTAATAAATCAATTTCCAGTTGGGAGAAGTGTTCTATGAGTCATGGATGAGGAATAATGAATGAAACCCTTGTATATATATGAACAGTATTCAGATGTATCTTCTTTGTATATGATGGTATTCAGATCGTATGTTCTAGCTTCTTTGTTATGATAGTATTAGAGAATTTTCTCTAACTCCATTGTATTTACTGGTATTTAGATCATATGCTCTAGCTCCTGTTTATGAGGCTGCCACAAGGCCAGTTGAAGAAGCCCCTCCGGTGAGCACTACAAAAGTTGAGGAAGAAGAAGCAGACAGCAGAGAAGTAGTCCTTCCTGGAGTTAATCTTGTTTTTGATGGCTCTGAGTTGCACCCCTTTGAGATAGGTGCTTGTCTACAGGCTCGTCAACCTGTCTCATTAATAGCAGAGGCAGCTGCTGCCTCAGCAACTCTGCAACAAAGTAGGGGTTCATGATAGAATCTTGCTTGGATGGCGAATATAGAAGAGTCCATCACGTTACTACGAGTAGCTTCATTCTTCTTTTAGTTTGATTATTTGGCTCGCTTGCTCATCTTTGCCGTTGGTCATTATGCACCAGCTCCAGCTTTGTTCAGAGGTAAACACCAGGGAGTTTCTTATTCATTAATGTTATCAGTTCAATGACGTATAATCTGTGCAGATGATTCAAAACAAACCATAAAAAGATCTCTGCATATCGCTTTAATTCCTGATACAAATTACCTGAGTAGCTGATATCTGTTAATTGACGCAGGTTGGTGTTTCCGATGATGCATACGCCCACTGTGTTTGTAGCTACAGTGAAGAGAGCATATGGTTTTTCTTAAGTTTACCCTTCATCGTACCTGGTGCTTAGATGCGGGTGATTTATACCCACCAGTGAAACAGTACACCCTTTTGTTTCATTTAATTTTACTTTTTTTTCTTTGTTCTGTTAGGGGGTGGGGATAAAACATACAGATGTTTCGGGCGCGCTATAGTACGAATGAAAATGCATTAGAATATACATTGTAAGTCTGCAATGACATTATGATTTTGTAAAAGAAAGATTAAATGTGAGCAACTGATGAGAGGAGGTCTACGCTGTGATCCCTCTCTTCTCTTGAGGATGTGATTCGAAGCTTTTGAAATCTTTATTGTTCAATTCTTGTAATTTTGTTGATAGTCCTTATTTCTGAATGTCGTCAATTTCCTTAAAGTTGTTGTCAAGTGAGCAGGGCAGTCCTCTCTTCTAAGGACACGGTGCGTAGGGTCAGTCCTCTCTTCTAGAGGGATACATTTTCTGGCACCTTTTTTTCTTGTGGTTATCACTAGGTAATTTTTTTCAATGTTTCAAATACATAATTTATAGATTATCTTTTCAAAAAATTAGATAAATTCAAAATCATTAAGACAATAATTTCTAATGACGAATCATGGGTTTCATCCTTCAGAGCATACAGCTAAGTTTAAAGATAAGGTTTTGAACATTCTTGCTAACATACTAAGAAGAAAAATTCGTCAAGAAGTGGGGGGCATTATTTTTTGTATTCTTGCTGATGAAGCACAGGATACTGCTCCAAAGAGCAAATGACTATTATTTTAAGATTTGTTGATAATGATAGTTTTCAACGAGAACATTTTTTGGACATTGTGTAGGTTGAAGACACTATGTATCGACACTTCATAGGGAGATAAAAAAGCCCTTGCTTTCCATGAGTTGCCTATAAAAAAGTTAAGAGGTCAAGGCAATGATGGTGCGAGTAATATGCGAGGTCAGTGAAATAAGCTACAATCATTATTTACTCAAGATTGTTCATTCGCTTATTATGTGCATTGTTTTGCCCATCATATGCAATTACCATTAGTTGCAGCCTCAAAAGGAGTGGTTGTTATCTAGTATTAGGTCCAATTGTTAATGTTATTACTACTTCTCCAAAGCGTCATACTTGGTTACAGGTTGCACAAGCAGTTAACATTGCAAAGTTGCTGCTGTGAACTTGAGATGGGAAGATAAGCTAATCAAATCGGTACTATACATTGACCTGGAGCTACTCGTTGGGGTTCTCATTATGGTTCAGTATGTGACGATACATATGTACAATGCATCTTGTACAATATTTGAGAACATAAAGAATGATAGATCTGCTACAAACGCTTTGCGTGGGGAAGCTACCGGTGCTTACAATGCAATTAGATCGTCTAAATTTGTTTTCATCTTGCATCTATTGCAGGAGATCATGGGAAGCATCGATATCCTTTATCGTGAACTGCAAAATAAGTAGCAAGACATTCGAAATGACATGAACCTAGTCAGTACTACAAAAGATGTCCTTCAAAACTTGTTATTAGATGGTTGGGCTACCTTTATTGACAAAGTGAATTCATTTTGTAAGAAACACGACGTTGATATGCACAACATGAATACTCAATACAAAGTAGGAACTAGTCGTTCTTGTCAACAAACAGGTCATATTACATTTGAGTATCATTATCGCATTGATATCTTCAATAATGCAATAGATTTTCAGTTGATAGAGCTAAATAGTAGGTTTAATGAGGAGGTAATGGAACTTCTTATTCTCAGTTCAGCTTTAGAATCAAGATATACTTTTAAGGCGTTTAACATTGATCATATTTGCAAGCTTGCAGACAAATTTTATCCCAAGATTTCACTCAAAAATAGCTACATATGTTGAGGTGCAAGTTGAAAATCTATGAATCAGATGTACCTAATCATCTTGTGTTTCAAAAAATGTCTAATACTTTAGAATTATGTCTTAGAGCTTAAAATCACAATATTTTAAACAACACAGAGCTCAAAACTTTGTAAAAACAAACTAAAATTAGTAGCCTTTCAATCTAAGCAAGTTAAAGAAAGACCCAAGTGTTGATAAAGACGGAGGAGAAATTCAGGAAGGTCAGAAGGGGATGCGCCCCACTAAAATTAATTTTTTTTCTTTCTTCTTTTTAGTTTTTAAATTATTTTCTTTTTAATATAACATTCTAAAAATTCTATTTTAATTTGACTTGTTTCACATGGCACTTATTTTACTTCCATATCACCGTAAATATGAATTTCATACTTTTCAAGTTATTATTTAACAGATTGACTAACAGATGTATAATAGTGCAATAAATCCATAAATTTTTGTATGAAATTGCAATGTTTTAAACTTTAGGTATGAAGCTGTACTTGACTCAAACTAGAGAGTGCAAATGTAATTTACCATTTAACATCTAACAGTGACATTTAAAAAAAAAAAAAAAATCATCTTTTGCACATAACTTATCAAGAAAAAAAAAAAAACTGGTGACAATTTAAAAAGTAAAAATTCTACGCGAATTGAGGTTGATAATGGACTTAACTACAAAAGATCAATAACACATAAACTATTTGTATAATTTAGTTAGGATTTTTGAAAGGGATTAATTTTAGTTTGCTACCTGAAATTTCTTAGTTTTCAACGTTTCATATATGAAGTTTTTTTCGTCCCAGTCTGGTACTAAAGTCATAATTTTGAGACATTTTCATACATCTGTTAAATATTCCGTCAGAACCTCCGTTAACTGATGACGTGACGCCTAAATGTACCATGACTGAATGTCACGTGTGAATTTGGGCTCACGTTGAATTAAAAGAATTAAAAGTTAAAAAATTAAAAAATTTAAAAATTAAAATATTTTTTGACACACCCCGACCGAGATCAGGGCATGATGGCCGTCACGTGGAAGTGACGTAGCCATGTGCACAGTGCGGAAGCTAAAAGAAGTAATATAAAAGTACGAATAATTTAAAACTACTAGCATACAACAAGTGATAAGATAAGTGCTAGCATAAGTGAGACGCTGAATTCAGAGCATAAAGACTACAGCAGTCCAAAGAAAATGATACGACAATAGTACACCCGAAGGTGACCCTACATCGATAAGTGTCTGTCAGAAATGCCGGGACGCCCTCTGGGAAAACCACCGAAACTGCTGGCTACTAGAACCTGGAGGGGCGCAAAACAAAAGCGTGAGTGGGCAAAAACAAAGCTCTTTGAAAACCATTTCATAAAATACATTCTAACCCCTCGCCGTAAAACCTGTATACTTCCCAGAAAATAAACATATATACGTATGTACAAATATGCCAATCATGCTCAAGGTATGCCATCTTAAAGCCTCATAAAGATATGCAAGTGCTCAGGTATAAATCACATCAATAACATATCACTGGCAGCCGGAGTCACCTAAAGTGACCTGTTCGGCTGAATCTAGAGCTCAAATTTCAATCTCAATAACTAAACCTGCCCACGAGTCGGAACCACCTATAGTGGTTTGTACGACAAGCCTGTGTGTAATACATATAAACGCTCTAGTGCTACGATCACGTGAAGGCTGTGCGAATAATCGCGGGTCACCTACTAGTCGAAACCACCTAAAGTGGTCTGTACGACAGGACTGTGCACCTAACTTGGATCCAAGCTGAGCGTATGGTGCGGGAGGTGAACGACATGTGAAGGACTGTACCCTACTCTGGGCGGGAGCACTAACACCGGGGGTGTAGGTTATGAGCTCTCTAAGCACCTCAAATCACTATTTAATGCAAAGGTTAAATAACGCTTACCTGGCACTTACCTATGCCTCCACAGCACCAACATATATATATGACATATGAATGAATATATAAATCAACTTATATGCCACTAATCATGCATATCAACCAATAACATAAAGGAATGGCATGCAAATAATGATAAGCATTTATATAAATTTCTGGGAATTATATGTATATAGGTATATACGGAAATCAAAAGCCCATTCACTGGTATGTGGAAGGGTCGTAGCCCCCCTGTCTCGAGTGCGCACGCTCGTCCTCGGGATAGGAATCACCTATATGCGAAATAACTATAAAAACATTAATTATAAAGCACATAACCTTCCTTTTGTAATAACTTCTCATACATTGCTCAAAATGGACAAATGAATATACCAACGTGCTCTACACAACCTCAGGATCACAACCATATTTTTAGAAAAATTTTCCTCCGCCGCACGCGCCGGCCACGCGCAGGCACGTGCGGTGCACACAGATGGCGTCAACTGACGCCGTGAGGAATATTCCGTTATTTCTAACGGATTCCGTCAACGGCGTCAGGAATATTCCGTCAAATCTGACGGAATATTCCGTCTCCTTCTCCGTTCACTCTCCGGTGCCGTCGCCGGCGCCGGAAAACTGGAAAACCTGCAACTCGAGTTTTCTCACTCGTTTCTCAACCATTTTTCAAGATTTTTGCACCAAATTGAAGCCCTAAGCTAGTAGAACACGTCCATACAAGTTTCAAAGGCTAAAAACCACGCGATCTTACCTGTCCAAACTAACCAAAACCGGCCAACTTCGAACCAGGTGACTCTAACGTCCAATTTCGTCCAACAAGTCACTCCGAGACTCCTTGGGACCCCACCAAGCCACCTATGAGCTTCAAAATCCCAAAAACGTGAAGAAATAAGTTTGCATGAATAGTGCTCAAATCGGAGCTTGTGAAATCGACGTGAAAACGACTGGTTTCTCACCTGAAAATGATATGATCGTGCTCCCCTCGACCTCACGATCACGACTGTGCCCTTAGTTTCCTCGATTTGTGATGATTTAGTGTAGTTGTGTGTGTGTCCGTACGAGTTCGAAGGAAGAAGAAGAAGGATAGAGGACTCGGGAGAGAGAGAGAGACAGGGAAAAGACAGAGGGAAAGGGAAAAGGGACAGTGTGTGTGTGTGTGGTCCAACTCTGGCCAACACCACACAAAACAACCAAAAACATAACGTAAACAACTAGGGGTAAAAATGTCATTTCCCATGCACGTTTTAGATAATTTCGGGACGGGATGTCACATTTTTTTATAAAATAATTTTATTTTTTAATTTCAAATATAATTTTTAACCAATCTTGTCACGTCACGTGTCATTTTCTGAAAGTACAATTTTTGTGAAAGATGGTTAAGTGTGTGTGTGTGTGTGTAAAATATTTTATTTCTTTCTATATTTTTAAACAATGTTTATAATTTTTTTATTAAGTTAATTAATCTAGATTGTTAGATTTCAAAAAGGATGAAATCCAACATCTTAAAAATAGACATGTGGCCCACAGTAAAATCTAAAATTTTATCTATTTATTATTTTTTTAATGCTGAAACGCCTGTTCACGTGAGCGTGTATCCCACGCACCAGCTGCAAAAAAAAGAAATTCACATGACTGATGTCAGCCTGACATCATGTAAGCCAGACTCTTGCTCTGTTCATTATGTGCTGAGCCAAAGCCGGCCTCCACTTTGGGCCAACCTATTGAGTGGGATGGAGTGGGTTTTGGAAGGGTGACCTAAAATATAGACTTTGAATTAACACATTTGTTAAAGGTGGAAGTGCTCTAAAAATCAAAAGAAAATATCACAAACTAAGTCGGTACAAAAATCAAAAGAAATAAAAATGATGTTAAAAAAGGTTATCGAACACGTGTCGATTGCAACATCAAACTTGACCCAACTCTCTCGTATCCGTTCACGTGGCAGACATGAAAAAGCATCCCGCTTCTATGCCGTTCTTGGTAGTTGATCCTCTCTCTCTCTCTCTCTCTCCATCCTCCCACTCTCACTATCCGACTTCCATTCCCTGCGATGAAAGCTTCAGCTTTAGCTCAATCGAAACGTCACTAAAATGGTGCTCTCCTTTTGTCCCTAACTTTCTCAGATCCATCATCTTTCTCTGAAAATTCGATTCCCTTTTGACTCTCAATATTCTCTCCCACAACTTTTATCAAACACTTTGCATCCCAACAAAAAGATCGATGATGCTTCGAACCCCACATTTGTACGATTCAAATACCTCCATGTTCCCTCTCTTTGCTTCTCCCCCTTCATCTCGCACTAGTGCTACATGCACAGTGGCTTCTCCTGTCATTGAAATGGGGTAATTCTCTTTTACTTCTCTGTTTTCTTGATTTTTTTTATATGATTGATTGAATTTTCAGTTTGTTGGTTTGAATTTTCATTTTTTATGCTCTTGGGGTCCATTTTAACGAAAAAGCTTTGGTGGGTTTTGTTTTAAATTAATAAAAATGATTACTTTTCAACTTTCAAGTTTAAAGAATATCATACAGAAATACACCAAAATGTATTTGTAGCAGTGCAAGTACCAGTATTTTATGTTATGGAAATATAGTGGTTTGTGATGAATCATTTGGGTTATTGTTGATTTCGGCGTTGATGGTTTATTAGATTGAAGTGGAGTAAACATGCATCGGGTAGCAATCAGCAAGGAGCTGTCAGAAAGGCATGTTTATCTTTCGATAATGCAGGGAATCGAACTTTGTATTTATTTTGGTTTTGCATTGTTGGTAATTATATGGATGGACTTCTGGCATAGGTTAGACCAGGAATGGGGCCAGGCATAGTACAGCCAGTGCTTACGGTCAGCGTGCTCAAGAACGTGTACTTGAGGTAGTTACTTCTTTTCATGTAGGATCATATCTTTTGCCTTCTATATCTGCTGGCTGAAACTTCCAAATTATGTAATATTCATAAATACAATACTAAAACAGTGATGATTCATCTATGTTTGAGAGCCAGAAACTGATTGATGACTTTTTTCCTCAATCAACTCCTTGGCAATGCCAGAATGGGAATATTTCACATTTTCATGTGTTCACTGTCTGTGTTTATAGGAAGAAGCCACCCAACTGTCAGAATCCAGCCCATCATGGAAGCTTTTCCCGGGTCAAGCTTTTCCGTTGGGTGTATCAGAAGTTGACAGTGGGATAAATTTTGCTATCTTTTCACAGCATGCAACTGCTGTCACACTATGCTTATCATTTCCAGAGAGGTAACATTGTAGTACCATTTTGTTCGTTGGTTAATATATTTGTACACTCACGTATATATGTAGTTCTGTACATCTGTATACAATACCAGGTCTGTTATGTTGCAGATTGACAATTTAACAATATTACTGAAACTTGAGGCCTGGATTGGGGCTGAAATTTGACTTGGATGAAGGCCCTTTATGTATCTCCATATTGTGTGCTTTTTGTAAAAGAGCGGTTGAGAGAATTCATCATTCTTTTTTCAGATTGTCCATTGACTCCATTCACTATGCAAATATGGATTAGGTTTATGCATATTTTTCAAGGTTCGAGAAGGCGCTGGGCGCTAGTTGGGCAGCAGGTAGGGGCTAGTGCCTAAGCGAGCCAGGGCAGTTTTTTAATTTTTAACTAAATTTATTATATAACATTTAAATACATGTCTACTTATAGTTATAAAAAATATATAATTGTATTAGAAGACATAAAGTGCAAAATAGAATGACATATAAATTATAAAGTAGTAGAACATATTGAAAATAGGGGAACGTGAATATAATGAGTGTTAATCCAAGTTCCAACAAGTCTCTAACAATTTATTTGAAAAAAGTAAAATGCAAAATGGAAGTTATCTATATTATGTCTAAGTGAGAGTTGCGACCTAGGTGGTCTAGGCGGGTTTAGGAAGGTTCCTACATAAATGATCCACTTGCCCCGAAATGACCTGACCTGGGTCTAGGCACCCTTTCGTATTTTTTTTAATGCCTAGGGATTAATTGTGGCGGTGGCCAACCGCCTAGCTCTTAGGTGGCCCAAGGCGGGGATTTGTAGAACAGTAATATTTTTGAAGTGGCCGGGGTTTGGCCTAAAAATTTTCATTCCTCGGTGGAAGCTTGCTTTAGTACTAGGCTAACACAAGGGCAATTATTGTTTTGTGCTATCTCAGCTTGTTGGCGGCAGTTTCCCATTGTTTGAAACAAATTAGATCAGTTTTTCTTATAGGAAACTGGAAAAAAGTAGATTTTCAACTTCTCCAAGGACATGTTTTCTTCGTTAGAGGGAGCTTTGATCTGAATGTAACTTCGTTTCTTTTTTAAGTTCCAACTGTAGTTTTGATGTAGATGGATAATGGACATCTTCTGCAGCCTTTTTGGAGATATTCGTTCTTTCTTTTTAGTCCTATAAAAAAAGTCTTCTTTCAAATAATTTCTTCGTTTTTTGCATTTTGGTTTAAAATGCTCAGTTTATATATTGTTGTTACTAGATGTACTCATCTGTTGACTGATGCTTTTAATGAATATAATTTTGTCATGGTAAGGCTTGGAGGGCTGGATGGTGGAATGATGGAGCTGCCTTTGGATCGTAATGTTAACAAGACCGGTGACATTTGGCACATATGTATCCAGGTAGAATTTGATTTAGGTTACTCAAAGCACTACCTGTCTTTGAGATGTTCTTGATTTAATGATGGCGTTAGTTCTTTGCTTGTACACACACTGCTCATGATAATGAAATTATTTCTTCCCAGGATTTGCCGAGGAGCAATGTTCTTTATGGTTATCGTATGGATGGGCCACGAGGTTGGCATCAGGGACATCGATTTGACAGCAGCATTGTGCTTGTGGATCCTTACGCAAAGCTAGTTGAAGGCCGTCGAATTTTTGGAGATACCACAAAAAAGTTATCTAAATTTCTTGGAACTTATGATTTTGATAGCTTGCCTTTTTACTGGGGAGACAACTACAAGCTCCCAAATATACCTGAGGTAAATATGGTTGTACGGTTGTCATGCAGTGAACAGGATAAATTGTGGTCTTGATACATTTGTTCAATCAGATGGAAATTTGATAGTTCTCTTTCTCCCCTCAACATCACATCTTATGGTTTATGAGAAAACTCATAACTGAATGCATTTTTATTAATATCTGTATTATTTATATGCTCATAGTTGATATGAGTTAATTTTCTAATTAATGATATTTTCATTTTTTTTTACCCAACTAAACATTAGATGCTCCATCTTGTTTCTGAGTTACATGTAGACTTAAAATACATTGCATCACATCTCAACCTGTATGTTGTCTGCTGTTTTTTCAGAAGGATCTTGTTATCTACGAAATGAATGTTCGTGCATATACAGCTGATGAATCCAGTGGTTTGGATCCTGATATATGTGGTAGCTACCTTGGTGTGATCCAGAAGGTATTAATTGGTTCTACCAAGAAGAATGAGAATCTATCTATCTAATAGCATTTTAATACAAAGTGCAATATCTGAATCAATTATCTGATTGCTCCCTTCAACTCTATCCTTCTTTAACTTGATTTTATAACATTTTACGTTTGTTTTTTGAAATTTCAATTGTTTTCTTCTGTTTTCATGCAACACTCCATACATGATTTATACCAGAAAACTATAACTAAGTTACGGTAAGGGGCTACTTCTGGAGACATGCATAATGGTATCTAAGTTTTTTCTTTTTCCTTTTCATTTGAAAAATGGTCTCTTAGGTTTTTATCTGCTGCCTCACTTTTAATTATAAAAAGAACTTTAATTTTTGGTGTGAGCTCTATAATTGTCTGAAGTGATGCCCAGTTGCCTATAAATATGCCTATTAAAAACCAAATTTGTTGCTAAGTTGTTCTGACCGGATACGATTTCCATTAGACAAGACTAGTGAACCTTTATGCCCTCAGAAGAAATTGTCTTATGGGCCTTGGTTCTTATGTGCTTGAAGATTTGTTTTACAATGTGAATACTTCTAGTGATTTATTAAATGAAATAAAGTTTGGCAAGTTCAAGATTGATCATGAATAATGACAACATATACTGCCTTACAGTTCCACGTATAAATAATTGAAATCGCAACTTCAACTAGTAAATTGCTATCCTTTACAGTTCCACGTATGATGGACTTCTCTGATTTTTCCCCTCCATTTTAATCTTTAGATTCCACACCTTCGAGAGCTTGGTATCAATGCAGTGGAACTGCTGCCGGTTTTCGAATTTGATGAGTTTGAGTTCCAGAGGAGACCAAATCCTAGAGATCACATGGTATTTAAATCAACTTCTCTTCATTTGTTACTGAATTTTATAATATATACCTTGCTCTTTGTAATTTCTCTTCATAGTCTGAGATGAAAATCTAGATGTTTGCAATTAAAAATGGGACATGTATATTGATAAATAAAGAAATGGATCTGATAAGAACTTAAAACCAACATTGTGCGGGAGAAAAATCCATCTAATGAATCACCATCAACCTAAATTATGTTATGACACTATCATCAGTATCACAGGTCATTTTCTATACTATATATGAAGTCATTGCCACAGATAGATGCTACTGACTGACAAGTTGGATACCCCAGGTGGTTTCAAAGTTTAAGCTGGTTATTTGAGGCGTCTCAACAAGATGATCTTTCAATAATTGTAGATAATTATTGTGTATTTTTTCTTTTTCCAATTTTTAAATCCTGTGAGCGTTAACTGTTACCATGGCCAAGTGATCTAATTTGTATAACACTGTGTGCGTATGGCTTCTTTTGCTTTGAAGATAAACACATGGGGCTACTCAACAATAAATTTCTTTGCTCCTATGAGCCGCTATGCAAGTGCTGGTGGAGGACCCCTTAAAGCTTCTCAGGAATTTAAACAAATGGTTAAAGCCTTGCATGGTGCTGGGATAGAGGTAAAGTATGTCTTTTCTGCAAAGTTCCTAATATTGCAGTTGTGAAACCTTATCCTTTTGGACAGGTCATTTTGGATGTTGTCTATAATCATACTAATGAAGCTGATGATGCCAACCCCTATACAACTTCATTTCGCGGCGTAGATAATAAGGTGATGTCATACTTCTGTTATGAGTATTTTAGTTACACTATTTTCATGCCTTGACTGTGTATTTTAATCCCCAAACAGTTGGAATTAAGGCTTAGCTCAACTAGATTTTACTGCCATCAATTAGAGAGAAAATTTCCTTGCACCTCCTAGGTCTTAAAGACTGAAATTTAATCAACTATATAAGAGCGAATTGATTCATTTTAGTCTTTATAAATATCGTTCATTTAATCTAAGCTTGAATTTTGCTAATAAGGAGGCTACAACTGTTTAGGGTTCTGAATTTTGGAGTTAACCTACAATTTCTAATTCGGAGTTGACCTACACGGTTCCCTTGTGGAATAAACTTCTGGCTGTGGCAGGATGTACAACTTTAAAACACTGGACATCTATTTTAAAATAAAGTATTCGAGGTATTATTTCAGATTTTTTTTTTATAAATGATGCATACTACATCTACAGGTTTACTACATGCTGGACGTAAACAACAATGGCAAATTACGTAACTACACTGGCTGCGGTAATTAATTCAAATGTCTTTACTAACTGTGTTCTTACCTGCAAATTCTGATGGTGCTGTTTTATCGAAGGCAAAGTGTATGAAATGTTTATATAGCATGAATGTGTTATAAATTATATCACATGGATATGGAATTGATTTGTCAATGAAGGGAAGGTGTATGTATTTTGCCAAAGTAAACTTTGAAAGTGACAATTTTTGGACTGTACTGCTGGATTTTGGACGCAAAACATGATTGACTTTGGCCTTGAATAAATGTTAAAACTAGCATTGTTAATATCTGAAGTTCTAAGATTTTGTATTTGTTGGTTTTCAGGGAACACATTAAACTGTAACCATCCTGTTGTCATGGAGCTCATTCTTGACAGTTTAAGACATTGGTAGGACACAATTCAGAGAGTACTAATTCATAGAAGGATTGTAACATTATATTTTTTAACTTATTGTGTTGTGATCTGTTTCAATCTGTTGGCATTTCTATCCATCTGGCGATTAACATTGTAATTGTATTTGTGATGTCTTTTATCATTTGACACAATATTGTAGTCATTGTTTATAAACTTATTCAAATGTGATATATGACATAAAAGTCTATAGCCTTAGTGCCCCCTATACCCTAACACCTTTTTTTTTTTCCTTAGTACTTTCATGGAATCATACCTTCTCCCATGATTCAGGAAATGAATTAATATTTAGGTGAAAATGACCCGTAATTTTGTTTAATATTGTTGAACTTAAGTTAGCCAATCCAAACTAATTGGCAATGGTCAGAGAAGCCCAAAAGTTTGTATATTGTGGTGCAAGACTTGGAATTCCCGATTTGGGATTTTATATTCTCATTAAGCCCTTGCCCTTGTGGCTAGACTCAGCCAAACATGTAGATCTATTATATTGGGTGATGTGGAGCATGTGTGGCCAAATTGGGCTGGACAAGTGGAGAAATTGCCTGTTATGGTGTCATGTTAGTATTAGAGCATGCAACCCTTAACCAATTGGCCATGAGGTAAAGGCCTGGACTTTATACATTCTGATGCAACACTAGAGAATTTCCAGTGTAAGAAGTTTAAATTTTTCGACAAAAATGATTAGTATAATATTTTCCCTTGTCTCATAAATCGTCTTCATTCGTTGATTTATACAATGAATAGCTATTTCATATCAAGCTTCATACTTCATCTTTTGTTACACATTTTCAGGGTTACTGAATATCATGTGGATGGATTTAGATTTGACCTTACCAGTGTTCTTTGTCGGGGAGCAGATGGGACTCCTCTTGACGCACCACCACTTATTAGGGTAAGTTATTTGCAAACCATACAGAAGTTTGCTTTGTGTATCTAGTTTTAAAATCAATGTCTTTGTTATTATGAAATTTTGAAAATGTCCGTTGTTACTTTTATAGTTACAAGTTGGTGGCCATTGCTATGGGCATAATTATATATGATTTTCCATGTAGACCTGCCTTCTAGTTAATGAGTGAAGTTCTAGATGTTTAATTGTGTGAGGATTGACTTAGCCTTGTTTGTTGGACCAGGCTATTGCAAAAGATGCCATCTTATCAAGATGTAAAATCATTTCCGAACCTTGGGATTGTGGAGGCCTTTATCTTGTTGGAAGATTTCCAAATTGGGACAGGTGATTCATTTTACAAATTTACAATTCATCATAGTTATGTGGGAGAAGCTGTTAGCCTGAGATTTCTAGAAGTAAATGTTACTTTCTTGTCAAAGAAAAAAGAGGACACTTTTTTGCATCCTCTAATTTTATATATATATATATTTTTTGTGTGTGAATAAAGTTGGCTTGCCGGAAAAATGTAACAATTCATTGTCTCCACCTATATCTGACTATTTTGCTTCTAGATTATGTTTTTTTTTCGTGCTTCATATTGTTTTTAAGGACCACTTCTTGGTCTGTACGGTTTGGAGCTGTGCATGAGATGTTTTTATTGTTTGCCGTTTGGTGAAGGATGCGAATGTTGATGTACCAATTTGTTTGTAAAGATCCTTGTATGCCTGTGAAAGTTTGGGTGGCTCTCGTCCATTACTCATGAAATTCCCTTAATGCAGGTGGGCTGAATGGAATGGGAAATATCGTGATGACTTAAGGAGATTTATAAAGGTATTCTTAAGAAATGATAGTCGTCTTAAATGCTCTATGACATAACCACGCTCTTAGCTTTAATGCAAAGTACAAGAACTGATATAACAACAAATATTAAAGTGCAAGTATGGATTATTACTCAAAAGGGATTTCCTCTCATTTTAATCCATAAAGGCTGAATTAGATAAGCAAGGGCTTGCATAAGATTCAATACATTTATTTATTTGGATCAGTGGATGCTTTTTGAAGCTTTGCCATAAACTGATTGAGTGGGATTAAGTTTAGTGTATTGTCATTTTGTTCAGTGTTAACACTGTTATGATATGTCTTTTGACTGCCATGAACTTTCTTTAATCATTACATTTATATTTGTCTTCCTTTTTTGCTGGGCATGACTTTTGCCATTTTATGGTTGTTGTTATTTGTACCTTCTAAGTACCACTTTCTTGTATTTTATTGTGTGGTTGGATTATAAATTACATAAAGCCACACACACACATGTATACACATACAAATAAATATGTATATATACATATTCAGATTTTTCATTGACTTTCCTTTATACAGGGTGACTCTGGTATGAAAGGAAGTTTTGCCACCCGCATTTCTGGATCTGCTGACCTTTACAAAGTAAGTTTTTTCATCAATATTATTGCATTATACTGTTTTCTGTTTACTATCATTTCCTTTTTTTCCATAACTATCAATTTGGTATTGTTGATGTTCACCATGCAAACTTGTTAAGCTGCCTAATCTGTATTTTGAATTTCAACTGGGATGATTTGCCCCAGCTTGAAAATTCAATAAAATTGAACATGGAACTGGGTTCAGTACTGGGATCGAAAACTTATCTCCCAAGTTTTATCGTCTCGGGTGAAGTTAGACGCGGGGATACCCCATTACAATCAAAAGAACAGAATGCCTTATATTTCATATTAAGGCAGCCATACATCTTTTCTGAAAATGATATTTTTCTTCACAAACTATCTTGATTAAAACTGGTCCCAGTACCCACATTACTGAAATTTTTTTATTCTGATGCAACCAAAGTACCCTCATGCTCATTGAATGTGCTTTTTTCCTTTCTAGTTTCCACAATACCCCAAAACTCTTTTTAGGTTTATGATTCTTTTTTCTATCACCATGGATAATAAAAAGATGTAGAGTATCTGATTTCACGACCTTGAACTACAATTATTATTTCTTCTGTTTTATGAACTTATCAACTTCTTAATCTGGATTTGTATTATTTTACTCGCTCTTTTCATCTGGGAATTTGTTTGGCCTCTGTTGAATGTACGACCATCCTGTAGTAGACGTACATTGCATCGTTTTTTCTACTACTAGCTAGTTGTTTAACTGCAAGTCTGCATCAGTGTTGTATTTTTTATTTATTTGTGTTTTACATTTTAATGCAAGCTCTGGTTACATGTTCTCATTATTTTCGCTTATTCCACAGGTGAATAAGCGCAAACCCTATCACAGTGTTAATTTTATTATTGCGCATGATGGATTCACACTATATGATCTTGTTTCATACAATTTCAAGGTACTTCAACATTTGTTAATGCATCAATTGTTTTTTGTTTATTTAAGTCTACATCATCCAGTTTGTCACTTCATTGTTGATTTTGCAGCACAATGATGCTAATGGAGAAAGAGGAAATGATGGAAATAACGATAATTTGAGCTGGAATTGTGGTCATGAAGGTAGGGCTAACTTCGACGCTTGCTCCTTGATATATTTTGTTATTATTCTAGCTTTAGTGTATTGGCAGGACTGAAAATTTGTGGTCAAGGCCACAGGGCATCAATTGATGCATCATTTTCAATTTCAAGCTAGCGTTGTATTAGTACGTGTACTGGGGAAGCCCGGGAGGGGGTGGTTATAAGTACAAATTCTACATCTTAAAAATAAAAGTTCATGTCCTATCTCTGTCTTTGGTTATTTAAGCATTAGATTTGATATTTTTTGTTATCTTCACCGAACTTCCTAAATGCCTAGGTAGATAAAGTTTTAATCAATGTAATTACAATGATAGTATCAAGTAGTGAACTGTCCATTTCCATGTTATGTAAAACCACAAAGTAAATAAATGTGGTGTACGTGCAATTTTGAGTTTTGTGCATATATTCTATAAGAGAAGATGTAACTTGTGCAAATGGGACGTACCAGTTCTCTAGTGAAATTGTCATGTATAAATGGGTACTGCTTAATTAAAAAATTATATTACATTTTGTCCCTGCAGCATTAGTTTGTGTTTCTATATGCATGTGTTGAAATTTCATTTTTTCCACATTTATTTGACAGGAGAAACTGATGATTCTACTGTTAAAGCTATTCGCTCCCGCCAAATGAAAAACTTTCATTTGGCATTAATGATATCCCAGGTTGTTCAAAATCTAATTTCATGTGTCATATCATATGCATGTGCTATCGTGCTTTCCGTTTGAGCTATATTAAACTTGTTAAGTTCAGACTTCAGTTACATGGTCTCAAAATTCAGCTTTTACTTGACATTTGCCGAATCTGGAAGCATTGAAAATTATTATGACCCTTGTAATGGGGTCCTGCCTTTTTTCTGCCTGTTGATTGGCGGTAAATAGATTTAAACCTCTGGTATGATTGTGTACTCTTGCTAGACAATTCTTTTCGGATCTGGCAACATTGATATCTTTAATATACTTAATTTGCATGCCACTTTGAGCACATTTAGTGCTGATGTAAGCTTCTGAATGCACTTGACCAGGGAACCCCAATGATGCTGATGGGGGATGAATATGGGCATACTCGACATGGAAATAACAACAGTTATGGGCATGATACTGCTCTTAACCATTTCCAGTGGGGACTGGTAAGTTTTTTTGTTCAGCTTTTGTTGAACTTTAATCTACGACTGGCATGTAATAATCTTATGGCATGACAGTTGAAGGCACGGAACAACAATCACTTCAGGTTTTTCAAGGAGGTCATAAAGTTTCGACAAGCACATCGTGTATTTGGTCGTGATACATTTCTTGAGAAAGTAATCTCCTTTCCTTTTGTTTTATTTTTTGAGGCATTCATGCTTGAATTTTAACTTTACGGATCCCCTTGTTCTAAGACTCATTGAACAATTATTGGTGTAGCATGATGTGACATGGCATGAAGACAACTGGTACAACTATGAGAGCAAATTCCTTGCATTTACGTAAGGACTTATGCCTGTTTTCTTTTTAAAGTACAGATTTTTGATACTGTAAATTTGAATATTCCTTTCAAGATATTGCGTGAGGGGAGTTGATGAGTAATTTGTTAAGTGATCATGTCTTGCTTCAAGGTATCCTTACGTTTGATGGCTGTTGGTCCTTAATGCGGTTTTGTACTTTTGAGCATGCACTGTTACTTTAGATACCACCTAGAAAAGCATCTGATTTTTCCGTTGTTTTTTCCGCTTTCTGCTAACATCAGTCTTGGACTTGATTCTATGGCTTGTTGTATAGCATTTTCCATTTTCCTTTTTTTCTTGTTCAATTTACATTTCTCTTGTTAGTAACTTTAACCTTGAAGATTATAAGTTCAAGACTGTTAAATGCATCAGAAACATACGTACTGAAACTTTTGTTTTGCAGGTTTCATGACAATAGCGAAGGCGACATCTATTTGGCATTCAATGCACATGACTATTTTATTAAAGTTCCAATGCCCGCACCACCGGTCAAGAGGAAATGGTTTCGTGTGGTTGGTTTTTCCCCCACTTCCATGCATAATCCTTTGTTTTCGAGAAATTGGTCACCAAAGGATCTGCATTTTTTACCATATGCATTCCTTTGGAAAATCATAGATTGCTGCGCTTCCGTTAATTTTGTTTCTTATTATCATCCCTCGTGTAAATAGCCCTGGTGATTCAAATAGTTGTTGACTTCAATGAAATGGAGCATATGTGTTCATTTCTCTATCATTATCATCCATTACCAAACTCTACTGAATACAAGCCTTGTTGAATTCCAGGTTGACACTAATTTGGAGTCTCCCAATGACATCGTGCCTGATGGCGTCCCGGGCCTTGCAGGCACTTACAACATGGCCCCCTTCTCCTCAATTCTTCTTCAAGCAAAGTGATGACATAGCATTCCGAAGCTGCCTGCGGATGAGTTTTCCAAATGAAGTGGATTATCTGGAAGCTGGGTGAAGAATTCGGGTTCTTTCGATCTTGAACAAGATTTTCTAGTTGCATTCTCAAACTCCTCCAGCTCTAGCAATGCGTGCTTATGCGACTGGGACCAGTAAAGTAAGTAGAGAGTAGTTAAAATCACCAATAAGAAAGAGGAGCCTCCAGCCTCAACCTTGTATATGCAGGGAGCTATGAAGACGTGTAATTACTAGAAATAAATGAGGTTCGTAGTGAAATTAAATATGAAAAAATGAAACACTTGTAACTTATTTGGTATCCAAAAATTATCGGATTAATTTCGTGTATGTAAAATTACTCTAATTATCAAAGTATTTGAATAGAAACATGGATTACTCGTGTTGTACGGTCATCCAATGAACACCATTGCCCGAGGAAAGGGAGAAAATCAGGGCTACCGCGTACAGAAGCTCTCCCACGGATTGTGGGAAGGCGTCTTGCGCAACAGTCCGACCAAGATACTTTTTTGACGCGATCTGCAAGAAAAACTTTGCACTTTTGACTTGATCAAGAGCAGTGAAGAGATTGTTGTCTAATTGTCTTATGATGCAACAGGGGGTACCTAGATAAGTGAATCACACCCACTATAACACATTTACGTAATAGAAAAAATTGTAGCAATGTGATGAGTAGATTTTATATTATATATTTAACCCTATTCTTAGTATATTTTGGAAAAATTTTGATACTTTGAAGTGTATTTTTGATATAGGACTTTCGACTTCATTTGGAGCAAAACTGGACCAAATGGACGAATTTTGGAGTAATTCCAGTTGGAGGATGTTCGTGAGTCACTTGGCTTGATTGTATCAAAATATCAGATTTTTTCAACAAGCGGTGATTTTCTGGCAATGAAATAAATGAGCAGTGCGCAGTGCTGGAATAGTGACGTTTTAGGCTTGAATTGCGTTTTTGGAGCCTAAGGTGACTTCAGATGGGTTCATAGCCTTCTGGAGATGTGTTCAGAATGTCCTAATCTTCAAAACAAGTTATTATGGGCTGGATTTAGAGGATATTTGAGGCTAAAACGTGGCTGGACAAGTACTTGACAGATTCTTCTAGTTTAATTAGAACTTTATTTTCTATTTTATTTTATTATTATTTAGTTTCTTAGTGGGAATGAAACACTTTGTTGTTAGGTTTTGTGCGCTGGCTTTAGGGGGATATTAAAAGGGTTTGGCCGGTTCTAGTTAAAAGGGGAGGGGGGCGCTGAATATTATTCAACTACACACTTTGCTAGGGTTTTTGGAGATTTTCTACTTTAAGATGTTTTCATTCCTTTTCTCCTTAATAATATTTTCTTTGATTTTTATTATGAGTATGCGTAACTAATTCCTTTGCTAGGGTTAGGCCATAAATCTTAGCATGAATATATGATTTTATTAATTTGCTTATGAATGGGTGCATGCTTACTTTGAATTATTAATTACCGCGATTAAAAATATGTATCTATTTTAATGACTGATCACCATTAGAATATTTAGACAAGTAATTTGATGCAATTTCTGTTGGAACATCACCCTGAAATTGAGGAGGGCTTCTTGTGATTAGTAATTGTAAGTTCACTTAAGGTGAATATCACGCTCTTAAGGGTTGCATGTTTTTTCAGAGGGTTTTCACGAAACTTAATGAGTCTTGCATGTTTATATTTGATCTGAACATCACAGACGGATTGCATGTTAGATATACGTTTTTTGCTTGAACATCACAAGGAAAATATGCATTAGGAAAATCTAACCTTCAAAGCATATATGTGGAAATTCATAAGTAATTGATAGATTTGCATAGGATTGTGACGATGACGGCTAAACCTTAGATTTCTCTAAATTGTTAATTTTAAAAACGTTTTTTTCTTCCTTGCTACCATTATTTCCAAATTGTCATATTTCTTTTATTGTTAATTTAATCTTTTCAAATTCATAAATCTCAAATCTTTGATAAAAATTTGTTTTAATAGTTAATTAAGAGTTGATTTAATTACAAATTAGTCAAACAATCCTTGGGGATAAAGACCTTGCATGAGCATTTATACTACAATTACCTTGTATTCTTGCAAGTATTTTCAGTGATTTTAACCCTATTTGCGCAGGTACTAAAAATCCTGTCACAATGGTCTCTCAATTTTAATCTAATTGGAGCAATTGACTCTCAACTAAAATTCCATGACCATTGGCCCCTCCAACTCATCAAAACGTGTAGCTATGATCATTTTCATCAACTCATTCAAGATTATGTCAAAATGAATCATGTCGGAATGACCATTGCTACAATTTGATTAAAGTTGAGGGACTATTACTCCAATTACGTTAAAGTTGAGGGATCATTTCTCCAATTGGGTTAAAATTGAGGGACCATTTCTACAATTTTTCTCATTTGGTTTTCCATATTTGCCTCTTGATTTAGCCTCACATGTGTGGCACATGACTCATTTTGATAGAAGTTCTAATGGAGTTGACGAAAATGACCATAGTTACATGTTTTGGATGAGTTCAAGGACCAATGGTCATAGGTTTTTAGTTAAGGGACTATTACTCCAATTGAGTTAAAATTGAGGAACCATTTCTACAATTTCCTCTATGAAATATAAAAGCGGTTGTGTTTTGGGAATTTCCAACTCTCTGCGGTCTACATCCACTCTTACCCATTTTTTGAAGATTTGGTTTTTATTCGTTCAATTTTATTTCTTCCTCTCCCTCCTACCACACCATTCTTCATTCATCATTTATCATCTATATCACGTACTTTCCTTTTCTAGAGATTAAATGTATAAGAGAGAGTCAATTACGTAATGAGTAAGATAATCATATCAAATATAAATAGAGTAATTTTGGGAGCCACGGGGAAGTTTCTCACCATATCCCACAATAAAAACAAAGGGTTTCAACATTTCCCATTTGCACAGGTGGTTAACTCCACTACTCTGTCTGTGTTTCCATTCATCTTCGTCTGTAAAATTCACATTTATGCATATCAAACCAGCCATGTTTTTGGTTCACGCGATATCAACTTTCGCTTCAATTAGAAATTAAAATTAATTCAACACCATAACCCTAATCAGGCACTTCAGAATCTAGTAGTAGTTTATAAATGTATGTGTTCAATGAAAGTATACAAATAATTAATTAAATAAGTTCCCAACCCTTATTTAAATGTAATCAATTTGTTTATCTGAGTCCTAATTCTTCTAGTCTATTTTAGACATACCCCAAATCCTTCTTAAGCATGTACTTTCTTTGGTCCTTTATGCGCATAACTATATTTATGGTACGAGTACATTGTCACTATACATTCTCATGCCATGAACGTATTAATTGTAACTTATATACTTTCCTATCATTTCCTCACAATTTGGATTGAAGTAACTAACTTATCAAAGAATGTTAGTACCTCAGCTGAACTACAAAACCATAATGTTAACAAAAATTAAAAGGGTTTCACATTAACGCATTTGTTTATCAATTCTAATTCAAAGTGTGTGCCAAAATAACACTGTTTTCCCGCTGCTCTTATAGTGCATACTTAGCCAACGTGCATGCATGCTCTGAGATGGATAAGATCTAAATAATATATCCATGCATGGCCCATGGGACAATATATTGACCTAGGTACGGTGTTTTAATAGCCTAATCTAAATGTTAATTAGTGTGATTTGACACTCCAAATGTCGATTATCTGCTTGAACATAGGATGATGTTGGCCACTCAAACCGAAACAAAAAGCAGTTGGATTGCCTGTAACGCATTATCATGCTTGGGCAAGGGGCAACAAAGAAAACACATACGAGCCACCACCACCACTCAGTGTCGAGGACGGGGCCATTAGGTACACCCAAAGTACCGTACCACCTGAATGTGGATGGCGCATGGAGACTTGAATCAGAGGTACGGGAGTGATAGAAGGAGGGTAACGTCGACGCTGACCATATATGCACGCGGAGGTTATGATAACGCCAAGGGATCGATAAGGAAGATAGTAGAGCTGAAGAATATAATTATTTGATACAAGATGCTAGGTATAAATCTCTTCACATTCTTGAGTTGGCCTCAGTGATTTGTATATTCAGCATGTGTTGTGCATAATGATCCTTCATCTCTCTCATACTCTTTGTTATAAACAATCTAAAATGACGTCGGTTGCCACTAGCATATTACAGTCTAGTAATATTTTTTTCTTCTTATAAGTAAAAGATCTTTAATTTAACTCACATAATTTGGGGTTCGTCTCACTGTATCCTATAGCTCAAATCTCTAACACATTAAATTAGAATATCATTGTATTGAATAAAATGGAGCAAGCTTGACCAAAGACAATTTTGCAATGTTAATGAGGGTAGTGTTTTTTCATTGTAAACAAAAGGTAAAAAAAAAAAAAAAAAAAAAATTAAAATGTGAATAAAGTAGGGTTAACAACTTCAATCCAATTGATTTTTTTTTCGAATCGTGAGTTTTTCAACATATTGTCAGATTACTATTGTCAGTTTGCAAGTAATCTGTGCTCAACCCTAGATTTCGAACGTTGAATCAAATTTAAATCTACACTTAAGCTTAGACCTTAGACTCCGATCTCTAACTTTGACCTTAAATTCAACGTCTCCAACATTTAATCTCATACGCCAATTTACCACTTGTAATTAAGTAAAGTAATTAGTTGTATGAAGAGGTTGGACCTGACCTTAGATCCATAGGGTAAATTTTGTCCACTAGGGATTGACGCAATTAACCTTATTCATTCATATTTTAAATTATTTATTTTCCTTTTGTTTACGATGAAAAAACACTTATATAAAACGACATTTGCGCTTTTCAATATACCATACTTGAAAGTGGGAAATATTTACCTTAAAGAGCACGGATAATGCTCCTACAAATCACAATTACCAAATTAATTCAGAGGTTAAAAATGAAAGATATTCTATTTTTATATATATCGATATATATATATATATATATATATATATATATATATAAAATAGAGAATAGAAAATCCAAGCAAAACACATAAATTTTCAGCTAATAAAAGTAAATCGAATTAAGATTTTTACCAGAAAAAACAAACGCGTTTGCAGGCCTACCAATATGGACGGCTGGGATTTCACCTTCCCCATACTTTTTTGCAAAAGCCTGGTCTTTCCATACACGTGTACGGGTGGGACATCAACGTCAACAGACTGAAATACAGACCCCAAAACCTCACTATATATATTCCTCCTCCTGTCTTTCCCTTTCAACCGTCTTTGTCCAAATCACAAACCCTCCTCCTCCCTCTCTATCTCTCCACTCTCTCTCTACCTGTCTGTGTTCTCCCTGCTTACTCACAATGGCTCGCTCTTCATTCGCGTTGTTGATGGTGACAGTGGCTCTCCTCGCCGCCTCCGCCTTCTCCGACGACAAGGCTAAGGTTGCCTCATCCACCTCCTCCCAATCACCATCATCCACTCCACCACCCTCATCAAACCCAGCAGCAGCTGCCAAGACACCATCCGCCACGCCGGCAGCGACCCCAGCCGCCACCCCAGCAGCGACCCCATCCGCCACCCAAGCAGCGACCCCATCCGCCACCCCAGCAGCGACCCCATCCGCCACACAAGCAGCGACCCCATCCGCCACCCCAGCAGCGACCCCATCCGCCTCCTCTGAGGCTCCCAAGTCCTCGGCTTCATCAACCTCTCCGTCCTCCGCCCCCACCACCTCCTCCTCCTCCTCCTCCCCATCCAGCTCTCCATCATCCGACTCTCCACCCTCACCACCCACCTCCACTCCCGCCTCCGGCCCATCCACCTCCGACGTCACATCTTCCGCTCCTACTGAGTCGACTACGTCTGCTGAGGCTCCCGCCCCATCTGGTGCAGCCGTGAACAGAGGCTTCTCTGCCGGTTCCGTGGTCGCCGTCGTCATCGCGGCGTCGTTTTTGGCCTAGATTTGTTTTGCGGACGAGGCCTTTATCCGCTGGTTCGGTCACCGAGAGAGAGATGCAGCAGGCGGATCTTGAGTTTCGTATATTAGCGGGTAGAATTTAACTACTATTTTTGGTTTTTTAGTTTTTTTCAATAAGGTGGATTCTTATTGGTGATGGAGATATTATTTGGACGGTGTTGATTTGATCGGACGGTGTTTCTACGGCAGATGATTACTCCATCGGCCTTAATTATTAATTATAATTATTATTATTAACTTCATCATTACTGTTGCTAATGATGATGACTATGGAGATTCTTTTGTTATGATCCAATGATATATATTAATTATATTTAATTCGTTGAGTTTAATATCTTTGATTTAAGCATGGTTGTGTCTCTTTGTTTCTTTAAGGACTCTCTGCGCCGTTTAATTAACTCATTATATGTGAGTAGTGACCTTAATTATTAATTCGAAAGTAATTTTCAAGTAAATTTAATATTTCGATTATTGTATGGTCTGGCTTTATTTTTACTAGATTGATAAATTATCAATTTAATTTTACCATTAATTTGTACTATTGAATTCAAGAAAAAATAATAAGTTTTATCCTTCTCACGCACTTGTTTTAATTTAGAGCACTTTTTTCATTTTTCCAAAGCACTTTTTTTTTTTTAATATTCTGTTTAAATAATATGACGTGAGAATCATACAAAGTAATGTTTAGTTTAAATAAATTAAACGGAGGGGGTACTGGAGTTTAATTCCTTGGTATATAGAATGTTAGCTTTATTTCGAATCTCTTATTTTTTTCAAATTATTAAAATAATTTGAGCCCTTTCTTTAATAATAATAAATTAAAAAGAAATCAGAACGGATATATTAAACATTAGTCTTTGATAATTTAAGAGATGGTGAGATTTAAAAAAGTTCCACTTTAAAAGTCCTTCAAAGAGAAATCTTAAAGGACTTTTAAAGTGGAACTTTTTATAATCCGTGCGTTGCTTTATTTTGTTTGTTTAACTATCGTGTTAATATTATAAAATAATTTAGTATTTCTCAGTTTCTTCAACTGATTTGGTTTTTGTCGTTTGGTGAATAAAAAGTAGAGCAAAGGTCTACGGAGTACAGACCCACGTGGTTTGCGACAGATAGACATGCATAAAGCAACACACTTTAGCTTTGGGAGAAGTTGAAAGAAAGTAAGGGTTTATGTTGGTTGAATCCGAATCCCCTTGAGGATTTCAAGAATCCGTAGACTATGTTTGTTCATTATATATAGTACTGTAAAAAAAACATTTAAAATTATTTATTTAAAATTAAATACAAATAATACCTGATAAAAATTAACCATACGGTATACAATAAACTAGTATGATTCATAAATTTCTAAGATCTTCGTATCCAGAGAGGATGTTGGTTTGGTATTAATTAATTTGTGGGCCTTTTGTGTTTCATAAAATTTTGTTGGTTCTACGATTTGATGACAATTGATGCTGATTAAAAACGTGCGATTAGATTCCTCTAGCGTATGGCACCTTAGGTTTTTTTGGCCGATCGGATAAGATTAGCTATACAGATTTGATCGTTTGACGTTCATTCGGATTAAATAAGTATCAGATTAATTTAATAAGTCTACTTATTTAACACAGTATACACCTGCTTATTAAAACCAACCAAAAGACTTGGATTATTAGTCGGTTTTGCTCTCTGCTCTCCTCGTCCTCGTCGCCCTCTCCTTGTGGCCTTCCTAGTCGCCTACTCTCCATCTGATAATTGGAGATGCCCACAAATTCTCTCACCGGTCGTCTAACTCACTCGCACCAACCACCACACAAAGAGAGTTTCATTCTCGTTTCACAACTGTCTATTCGAATCGGGTTTTTTTAGTACTGCAGTGGGTTTCAGATTTTAATTCTGATATTTGGGAGATCTGATAATTTGGCTGTTTGAATTTAAGTGGGATTTGGTTTTATCATTTTGCTGCCGCGATCTGGTTTGGGTTTTCTTAACCTGGGTTGGCTAAATCTTGGTTGAGAATTGATGATGGAATTTGAAAATTAAGAAAAAAAAATTTGGGCAATTTCTTTTTTTCTTAAAAAAAAAAAAAAAAAGATTTGGGGCTTATTTGGGGCTTTTTTAAGTGGAGAAACACTTGAAATTTTTTTTCCTCCAGTTGTATAAAAATATATGGCATAACATCTAGTGCTCTAGACATATTGAAAAGTCTCTCATAATTAAGCAATAATGCTTGAACCTAGAAAACGATACCTTTTCTTTCGTGCAAGCTCAAACCCAAAAAATGATCTTTTCAAGTTTTGTAAGGATGGCACAAGGCATTTCAAGGTATTTTTATTATAACAATTAATTTTGGTTGAATTCTAAAAAAAAAATAATATCAATTTACTGGTTTTAGTGGCGGATCCACAAAAGGGTTAACATGGTTAGTTGACCCCATGGCAGCCCGGAAATTTGTTTGGGAGTGTTTGATGACATTTGGATCATTCTATTAGTAATTACTTTGTGCACAAGTGTTTGACAAAATGTTTGAGCGAAACTTGACATCTTTTGACAATGTCTTTATATGCATTGCAAGGCTTGCTAGATGACTATAGCCAACTAACTATTTAACAAATGTCAACACTGAAAATTTACCTGTTGTTCTGTCCAAAAATGTTTGTGCGTTGCTTGTGCTATTTCCTTTTTGACCCCAAAGAATTTTTTCTGTATCCGTCACCGGCTGTTTTAACGTTATGAATTATAAGAACCAAAATGAAACCCTAGCAAATTACAGAGCATGATCTCTACCCTTTCGCGGTTTTTAGGATAATAATCGCGGGTTTGATCTAAATTTTGTTGCTGGGATTTAATTTTAAATTCACATGTCACAATCTCATCAATTTGGATGTCAATATTGTTCTGTTTTCGTGAAATTTCCCTCAAGAATCTTTGATGTGTGAAAAATGACATTGCGTGTGAGATTACAAGACATGTGGATCACGTACAAAACTGGACACGACAGCCAAACACCAAATTGTACAAAAAGATTGTCTTCACGCAACTAAGAAAGTTCTCAAATTACTTTACCGTACAAACATCAAATTCAAAATCATTTATTCTCTTCTCCTTCTTATTAACGCAGCAAAGAATTAAAATGTCTCGAAGAGACGAGGAATAGATGATTTAAGAATCGTTCTACAAAGAGTCGGATTCGCTCACGTCTGTGCGGAGATAGAATTTGGAAATCACTCAACTAACGACAACGGAATCACTCATGTCGCGAATCGTGAATTCACTTACACTGCCAAATCAAAACACTTGATTATTCGAAAGAAGAAACACTCACTTTAATTACAAAAAAAAAAATATGTTTTTCATTCATTCCAGCCTGTCAATGGCTTCTAATACATGATATTTATAAAGAGTACAAACACAAATAAAAACCCAAGTCCGAATTGGATTTTTAGTCTCCCCAATACTATTTAAAATGTTGTTAAATGGCTACTAATATTTGTGTTGCTCTAAAACTTAAATTAAATATATTTGATGGTTCCAATTACCATGAGACTCTTGGTAAATTTCTATACATGCAGCAAGTGGATTTTTACCATAGTGGTGGAAAAGTGTTGAGTTTTTGCATGATGACGTGGGTTCGAACCCCGTCAATGATTAATCTAACATCTAATATAACAAAATCTATCATTTGAACAAAAAAAAAGAAAAAAAAAAAATCTATACATGCATGAGAGCCTTGATTACTGCATCAATTATAATCTAAACATCATCTCTTCCAGTCACTTATTACTACAGGCTCATTTGTAAATAAGAGGTCTTAGAGGATATTATCTAACACTGCAAATTGACGATTCAAATTTTACAATGACGAGTTTGATACCTTTTTTTTTTTTTTTTTTTTTTTTTTTTTGTGCCATCCTTTAGTGTAAAAATTTCATTATGTGAAAAAGATCGCCTTTTGAAGAATTCAATGTGAGGATGCTATTTATTATCATAACCATCCGTTTGTTCGATACATTGATGTCTTGATGACTAAACAATTTTTGAATCAAATAATTTTTTGAGTGATAATACATATTTAGATGATGATAAAAAAAAATGATTTCGACTATGAAGTTTGTACAGTAAAACGATGTCAGGGAAGAACAACTTCCTTTCTTAAGGGAGGAGGGAAGTATTATCCGATGTGGAAATGAGCTCAAGCTTATGATTAGCTAAGTTGAGCTGGAATAAGCCACAAATGATCCAAACTTGAATCGTACGTATCCAATTTGCAGCCTTAGATGTAAGCAATGAACTTGAAAGTGAAAAGAAATCACTCGGCTACAGATAAATTACAATCTGACATGTGTACGTTCATTCGATTTTTTAACTAGTTAAGCTATGAGATGCCTGAGATTTGCAGGTTACAATCTTAATACAAAAGGGGTGTGCTGTCCACACCCTATTTTACTTCTTACACACCCCTTGTTAATTTCTATATGTTGATTTTCTTCAATTCATCCAATCTGACGGCCGAAAATTAGAAGGATGTGTGAAAAGTAAAATGGAGTGTGTGAATATCGCATCCCAATACAAAATTGTAAATTAACACCACCTTTTATAACCTAATCCCTTTTTCTTTCATTTCTTAGTTAATTTATCAATTTACCTTCATTTTATAATTTGGTTTACCAGTTTGCTATCCATTGGGCTCTAGTTCAGCTTGTGTGTTACAATTGGGTTCAGAACAATTCGACCTTGTTTCCAATGGGCCTATGGGCCAACTCGTTGCCTCTGATGTTAAACTTTAGTCATTTTTTACCCTGCCCGTGATCACATTGCAAATCATTTCAATTTGTACTTTTTTTTTTCATATGCCATTGTTATAATTTTCATTCGGTTAATGAAGTTAATTAAATCACTCCGAGATTATTTTTCTTTTCAAATTTCATATTTATAGTAGCAAATATTGATTAACTACCAAACAGAATTAGAATGAAAAAAAATAAGAATCATTCTCGTTCATGTTTGAAAAGTTATAGTACGTGAAATTGTTGTTGAGTGAGATGGGTTTGGAAATCATGGTCCTTCAAAAGCAAAGTGCATAATATATATGAACCTCAATCATGCTACACAAATAATGTATCATGGACCCCAGAAACTCAAGAGTACTTAAAATTTAACACAAGAAGAAATAAACTAGCACTGCCTCTATCCTGGCACTTGGAGTGATATCATCTCATCAGCTGCCAAACTTAAATTAGAAGGAACATACAAAAACCAACCAAACTAATCACACTCCACAAAGTCACAACAAGAGAGCTAGAGTGGCTACTCCCATTACCAGTTGATGAGGGTTTGGTGGTACTTGCAGGGGTGGTAACTGTAGAGTTACTGTCGGAACCACCGGATGGTGCTGCGGTTGATCCTGACTCTACAGTCACAGAAAGCTTCATCCCCATCGAACAATGCCCAACCGAGCTACAAATGTAGTTATGAGTCCCGGCAGTCTTGAGGGGGATGGTGGTGGTTCCGCCACGATGACTTTTAATTGAATTTTGCAGAGTGCAAGTTTTGTAGTCACTGTCAGTCACTTCTTCCACCGTGTGCTGACTTTGATACTTGAACACTAACATGTACCAAAATTTAGGAAAAATTGACACAATCAGTTCAAACGTAAACCAAGTGGCAGTGTTACTAGACTATAAATAATTCTAACACCACACTCGTTAAATAAAATTGACCTGATCAATTATCTAAATTGATTATCTATAAGTTATTCTCAAAACAAGTATCTAGATTGAATGTTTGTACTTAATTTCCAAACTTTACTCATTAAACAAGAGCTCCCTTAATCGATAGTCTAGAATGAATCTATACGTAACTCTGAAACAACACATCAAAATAACACCTCATAAACATTATTTTTGAAGCATGTTCACGACAAATAATTAAAAGGGAGTAAGGACTTTACCCAGGCTGTCACCAACTTCAAAGGTCTTGCCACTAGTCCAAGTGCTATAATCCACACCAGTATCCCACCCAGAGGAGTCTCCAACGGTGTACACAGTGGCTAAGCAGCTTGGCATCATGACCATGGCAAAAACGAGGATTAAACCCACAGTTCTGGCCATTCTCGATGAGCTAGCTACAATGTGTGTGTGTGAGAGAGAGAGAGAGAGAGAGAGAGAAGAAGAAGCCTTTTGTGATGATATAATTCTAAAGAGTGGGAATTCAGTTACATAATGGTATGAAGGGGGTTGGAGTAGGTAGGGTTTGGTGGCCCACTTGGTCGACTTACTTCCGATGAAATGCAAAATGTTCCGTCCATTGCATGGGGATGACTTGGGTTAAGATGTCACACCTAATGCTTTGTTATAATAATGTGACCCTTTTTTCTTTTTATTTCTTTTTGCATTGTTAATCTCCTAACTTTCACAAGAAAGAAATGTGATGATAAATACGGCCATCATAATCTAGGTTTGTTAGGAAAATGTTCTATATTTCTTAAACCCATTTCTAAGCACCAAAGTGGAATAATCAAATTAAAGAAAAATAGGAGACGTAATGATTTTTTAAGAGTGCAAATAACATTTCCCTAATAGAAATGTGAGTTTTATTGGTTCTGCATTGACATAACACTAAAACAAGCAGGAGGTGATCTCCCTTTCATGACCCCCAACGCAAGGGCAGGAGTAGCAAGCCGAACTTGTGATTGACATGGGAACAAAAAATTCTCGGTGTCGAGGGAGATTTGAGATTATATAAGTAACTTAGTGCAACATGACAAATTTCATTGAGAGGAATCAAAGCTCTTTACGGATTGTCTTCAATGAACACACTTACACAAGTTCTGGGACAAAAATAAAATAGAAATAAGTTTAGAATCGAAGCAAGAAAATCGTAAGAAGTCAAGAGAACAAATTTGCAATTAACCCTAAATTCAAATATAAAGAAAAAAAAAAGTCTTAGTGTTAGTTACTAGTTAGCCTGAAAAGAACGTAAAGCTTATTAATATTATTTCTAGTTCTGGTTAATCTTTTTATTCTTGTCCAAGCACAAACATAGGTCAAAGTGGGTTTGATCTTTGGAAATGAGAAGTCACATTCTCTGAGCAAAACGGTTCACCTAACAAAGTGAGCATTAGACGTTACTAGATAATATGCCCGCGCGTTACGGCGGGAACCAACCGTCATGAATGAACAGAGGGACACATGAGTGAATGAGGTCAATAAAATAAGCAGCTTGGCTTTTATATACATTCAACTGAGTATGGCTTATTCAGGTACACCAAGAATCGCTACTATATTTGAAATGAATTTGGTGGATTAGAAACACAATAATCTCATGCAACTAAGATCATCTAATACTTTCAACACTATTTGCAACTCAACTACAATACCTATTATTGATTAAGAATTAATTCCTAACCCATTACTCAAAAACCTAAATTTCATAAGAAAATGAAGAAGAAAAAAATGAGCAAAATTTTTGGTAAAACTCAATAATTGTTTCTAAATATACCTTCTCAGAATTTCAGCACTGCTTTGATGATCTATAAAGAAGACAGCCTTGGAGAGTTTGGAATTGAAGTAAGGTATACATTTTGGTGGCGGCGAACTTGTCCCGGAACTTCAGAAACCCAAATAAAAAATATGATGATTAAGTAAAGCAGCAAATGATTACACATATGTATAATAATATATATATATATATATATATAGAGAGAGAGAGAGAGAGAGAGAGAGAGAGAGAGATAAACACACAAACACAAATCAATGTTTCAATTTGTATCTTATCAAAAGCTTAAACCTCCAACTAATCATTCTCTCCCAGAGGTCATCAGAAATGTGATTCTTCTGAGAATCGAAGTTTAAGGAGAGGATTTGTTCGTCCCCGGGAAACCACAAATACAATCAAATAAGCTGCCAAAAGAACATTAATAAATGAAAAATAAAAAAACAAAGAAATAATGAGAAACCAAAATATGCATCTCAAAATCTAATCACTTTTTAGCCTGCTGGCCATTTTTAGTTCTTGAATTTAAACAGTTAAACCATGACTCAGCACATGAATGAAGTGAGAGCGTGAAAGATAAGTGGGATAAGCTAAAAGTCATCCTCGAGTCATGCATTAACTTTCAAACTGTTCCAAAATAGCAAACATCTTTAACAAATGAATAACTTAAATGCTTAAGTTAGCCATAGAAAGCCTGCAGAACAAAGTTAAACATGAAGAATGAACAAAATGACAGACAGATTTAAACAGCATAGCAAAAAAGGCGTGCAACGCTGAATTCTTCTCGATTTACCTATTTAGTGAGTTATTGGACCTATTTAGAGAGTTTCTGGACTGAAATGAAGCCAACTCTGCAACAGAGAAACAAATGGAAAAGTCAAAATCCAGAAATCCAAGTTTAACTCAATCAAATATAATAACCAATGAAAGCTGCAAGCTCCAAATACTCAGCAACGTAGAAAAAAAAATTTGTTTTTCAAAGACTTAATTGGTCCTCTATTTTATTAATTATCGTTTGGGAAAGGAAATTTGAGACAACACCTTATCAAAGAGAACCATATATGCATTTAAGTCATGGTACAATGGGCGGCATTCGCTGCTGCAGTGATCTAATGCTTTGGCAATGTTCAGAGCAACTGTTAGTCGTATAGCCCACTCAATGGTCTGATTCTCCCCTGTCAAGGAAGTGTGAGGTGAATTTATACCTGAAGCGCTTTGAAAAGATATAGGCAATAAATTTCAGAGGTCACTTATTAGGAATATGAGAATGGGAAAAGCAAAATAGCAGTCACAATTTGAAATGAAAATAGCACACGTGTAGATAATAAATCAGCTTTGTGAAAGTGGTTTGAGATCAGAATATTATGCTCAAGCAGATCAAATGCATTCTTCAAAGCGATGAATGACAAAAAAAATCAATATCTTATGTAAAAGAAGAGAAAATTATATCTTTGCAGGACTGTGGCCTCATCCAAAAGTCTAACCAAAACAACATTTTAAAAGTAGTAGTCGAAAGTAAGAATTGAAACTGAAGAAGTAGGAAAAACAAAATGTTTAAACAGAAAACAGGCAACTTTGAAATATCCAACTTTATATGTCAGGTTTATCTTTTGACAACACCATAGCATCTTTAATCGGTATGGCCTGTGCAAAATGAAATTGTCAATCCTGATTCACAGAGAAGAAAAAATCAACTCCCATATAAATTAAGATACCATCCAACATCCCTAGTCCTTATTAGCCCCCAATCCCAATCGAAAATCCCAACAGCACAAACATTATTAGTCCTAACAATGTAAAAATCTATATGCACACATATATTCACACAAAAATATATTTACAGATATATTTATATACACGGACAACATTGAGTTCAAACCAAATCTATAGTCCAAACAATGTACTAAACACATAATAAACATAAATCCAATGTACCTCCAACAGAGACTTGAACCATCTTTCAAGAGTCACCATAGCTTTCCTTTGCCCTTTTTCTCTTTCTAATCTCTGTAGATTTTATCTGGAAACATAAATAAACTACAAAATCAGAACTCGCTTATACTGGATCAATGTTTTGCTCTGAAATCTCTATTTTAGACTTAGTATCGAGAAACGAAAAGTCTTATATGCAAAAGATAACTCATTCATCACAAAGCAACAATACATTTGCAGTAACTGTTTAAATCAGAACATATGATTATCATGAACTGCAGCATTAGCATTCTAATTAGACACTTGTAGCCATAAAATTGAACATTTCACTACCGTGTTTGATCGCATCAAAACAATCTGATTATCGATAATTACCTTAGCAGAAGCTTGAATTTCTCTGGCAGTCATATCCAAAGCAAGTGCATAACCTTACACCATCCGATTCTTGATTCATGAGGATGGAATTAGAAGTATGTCATTGCATTTCTCGATTGTCATTCCAATATGGATGTTAATTGGACTCTATTAATATTGAACCTATCAGATGAGAAATTAAACAGAAGAAAAATCAAAAGTTTCTTAACTGAACATGCTCATGAAGGGGTAATAGGTTGCTGATACAAAGAAAAAAAGACAGATTTTATCTACACATCACCATAAGAAAGAAAACGATCACAAAGTACTTTTTTTTCTTAGCAACTTCGTGGAACAGAAAGAAGCAGGATACATAAGGGGCAAAACAATCTTCTTACTCGTACATCAAAGCAAAAGAACAACCATTATATTAGTATGCCATTATCATCTGGGGAACAAATCCAATTGGCAGCTTTTACATACCTATAATTATAAGCAAAGTTTGGAATTCACAAAAAATACTGGGCAAATACTAAGACTGCCATTTGAAAAAGCTAAACAACAACAAACTTTGACAAATCAACTACAACTAAATTCAGATGACATTCGATATATGAAGACATTCTGAGAAATCAAAGGCTCTGAAATCAATACCATATTTCATGTGCCTTTTACTGATAGTGAACCCAGCAGCAAACCAGGATAAAAAATTGATTTAGAACCTTTCTATCTTTGTCCTTGTAAATATGATATTTTGGCATCGGCAATACATCACAAAAAAAAAAAAAAAAAAAAAAAAAACACAAACAAACAAACACACAAATATATTTGAACTCACAGAAAATATAGAATGAACATAAAAAAGGCAAATTATGAACGTTTAGAAGCTAATTTCAATAGCAATTAAGCAACCAAGCTCTCTCAACACCGCGATTCAGAACCCCCCAGGAACCCAGAAATTTAATGAAAAATTTTCTAATCATTCAATTGGATTAGACAAAATCAAGAATTTTTTTTTCTAAAGCCCAATTATATTAAATCACAAATTTGAAGCAGATTTTGACATGCAATAAGTGAATAAGATAGGAATCGCTTCAGACTAACCTCGATGGCAGGGCCTCCGGAATCGCCCGATCCGAACCAAGCTCCTAGGTTATAGGGAGATGTTGATGTGAAATTCAACACGCAAACCTTTGACGCAGCTGTGGCGCCTGGTGGTCGTGGGGGTTCCACACTGGGAGAGACTCCAGAAGAGGAATCTAGTTTTCTGGTTCAGAGAAAAGGGAATGAAGGAAAATAGTGGAGAAGAGGGAAAACGCTGTTGAAATCTTGCAGGAACAACCCTAGGTCGAGCTTTCGAAACCAACCCCTTTCTCTCCCTCGAATCGTACACCCCCAGTGACTCTATCTGCCTGCAAGCCGCATGCCTTCCTCTCACCAAATCTCTATCTCTCTCCCTCCCTGTCTCTCTTCTCTCTCTGCTCGCTCGCTCTCTCACCGAGTCCCACTGCAGCTCACAAAGAAAGGAAATGAAAGTCGCTAACCCACCCAACCCATTCGAAACCCTACAGACTAAAATGACCATCGCGCCGCTGCCTTTTCCAGGATCATCAACCAGCGGCATGAAGATCAGCGGCAGAGAGAGTCAGTGGCAGCCTCGTAAATAAAGTGAAATTCGACTCCAAAGACTATTCATTTGTACAGTGCAATTGAAAAGCCTTCTTTAGACTAATGTAATGGGCATGGGCATGATGTTCTGTTCATGCATGAGATGAGTCATGAGACTCATGACCCAAATAAAAAATGCGAGTCAAACTTTTTCATATGTGAAAAGTAGGGTTTGATTATTTTGGTTTTGGTACACCAACCACCCACGTTAGGGAATCTGGCTAGTAAACAATTGCTCAGGGAAAAGAATTATGATATGAATCCCAAGTGTTTTGAGGGAGACAGTTTGAAGAATTAGAATTAAGATTGTCTTCACGCAACTAAGAAAGTTCTCAAATTACTTTATCGTACAAACGTCAAATTCAAAGTCATTTATTCTCTTCTCCTTCTTATTAACGTAGGAAATAATCAAATAGTCTCGAAGAGACGAGGAATAGATGACTTAGGAATGTCTCAACCAAGAGGTGGATTCGCTCACATTTGTACAGACATAGAACTTGGAAATCACTCGACCAATGGCAACGAATCACTCATGTCGCTAATCGTGAATTCACTCACACAACCAAATCAAAATGTTTGATTTTTCGAAAGAAGAAATACTCACTTTAATTGCACAAAAGAAATATATTTTTCATTCATTCCAGCTTGTCAATGGCTTCTAATACATGATATTTATAAAGAGTACAAACACAAATAAAAACCTAAGTCCGAATTGGACTTTTACTCTCCCCAAAACTATTTAAAATGTTGTTAAATGACTACTAATATTTGTGTTGCTCTATAACTTAAAATTAAATATATTTGATGATTTCAATATCCATGAGACTCTTGGTAAATTTCTATACATGCATTAAGTGGGACTTTACCACAATATTGGAAAGGTGTTGAGCTCTTACATGGTGACGTGGGTTCGAACTCTATCGATGGCTAATCTAACATCTAATCTAACAAAATCTATCGTTTGAACAAAAAAAAAAAAAAATCTATACATGCATGAGAGCCTTGATTACTGCATCAATTATAATATAAACATCATCTCTTCAAGTCACTTATTACTATAGTCTCATTTGTAAGTAAGAGGTCTTAGAGAATATTATCTAAGACTGCAAATTGATGATTCGAATTTTACAATGATGACGAGTTTGATACTATTTTTTTCTTGGGCCATCCTTTGGTGTAAGAATGTCATTATGTGAAAAAAAATTCGCCTTTTGAAGAATTCATTCAATGTGAGGATGCTATTTATTATCATAACCATCAGTTTGTTCGACACATTGATGACTTGATGACTAAACAATTTCCAAATCAAAGAATTTTTTGAGTGATGATACATATTTAGATGATAAAAGAAATGATTTCGACTATTAAGTTTGTATGGTAAAACGATGTCAGGGAAGAAAAATTTCATTTCTTAAGGGCGAAGAGAAGTATTATCCGATGTGGAAATAAACTCAATCTTATGGTTAGCTAAGTTGAGCTGGAATAAGCCACAAATGACCCAAACTTGAAGTGTACGTATCCAATTTACAGCCTTCGATGTATGCAATGAACTTGAAAATAAAAAAAAATCACTCAGCTATAGATAAATTACAATATGACATATGTACGTTCATTTATTTTTTTTAACTAGTTAAGCTATGAGATAACTGAGATTGTGAATTGCAGGTTACAATCTTAATACAAAATTGTAAATTAACACCACTTTTTATAACCTAATCCATTTTACTTTTATTTCTTAGTTAATTTATCAATTTACCTTCATTTTATAATTTGGTTTACCAGTTTATTATCCATTGGGCTCTAGTTCAGCTTGTGTGTTACAATGTGTTACATTTAGTTCAGCTAGTTAATTTATCAATTATCTCTTATTCGTTGCCTCTGTGGTTAAACTTCAGTCATTTTTTATTTTTCTTTCATATTCTCTTTCCACCTCCACAAATTCTTCTTTTTTTTTCTTTTTTTTCTTTTTTTTTTTAAAGGGGGAAATCGATGGTAAGCTGCGGCTATCCATCCCTTCCAGGTTTAGAGAGGTTATGGGAATTTTACCTTACCCGTGACCACATTGCAAATCTTTTCAATTTGTACTTTTTTTTCACTTAATGCAATTGTTATAATTTTCATTCGGTTAACGAAGTTAATTAAATCACTCCAAGATTATTTTTCTTTTCAAATTTCATATTTATAGTAGCAAATATTGATTAACTACCAAAACAGAATTAGAATGAAAAAAATAAGAATCATTCTCGTTCATGTTTGAAAAGTTATAGTACGTGAAATTGTTGTTGAGTGAGATGGGTTTGGGAATCATGGTCCTTCAAAAGCAAAGTGCATAATATATATGAACCTCAATCATGCTACACAAATAATGTATCATGGACCCCAGAAACTCAAGAGTACTTAAAATACCCTAAAATTTAAACAAGAAGAAATAAACTAGCACTGCCTCTATCCTGGCACTTGGAGTGATATCATCTCATCAGCTGCCAAACTTAAATTAGAAGGAACATACAAAAACCAACCAAACTAATCACACTCCACAAAGTCACAACAAGAGAGCTAGAGTGGCTACTCCCATCACTAGTTGATGAGGGTTTGGTGGTACTTGCAGGGGTGGTAACTGTAGAGTTACCGTCGGAACCACCGGATGTTGATTTACCGTTGCCGGATGGTACTGCGGTTGATCCCGACGCTACAGTCACAGAAAGCTTCATCCCCATTGTACAATGCCCAACCGTGCCACAAATGTAGTTATGAGTCCCGGCAGTCTTGAGGGGGATGGTGGTGGTTCCGCTTCTATCACTTGTAATTGAATTTCCCACAGTGCAAGTTTTGTAGTCACTGTCAGTCACTTCGTCCACCGTGTGCCCACTTCCATAGTTGAACACTAACAAGTACAAAAATTTAGGAAAATTTGACACAATCAATTCAAACGTAAACCAAGTCGCAGTGTTACTAGACTATAAATAATTCTAACACCACACGTTAAATAAAATTGACCTAATCAATTATCTAAATTGATTATCTATACCTAATTTTCAAAACACGTATCTAGATTGAATGTTCGTTTTCAAACTTAACTCATTAAACAAGAGCTCTCTTAATCAATAGTCTAGATTTACGGAATTCTGAAACGACACATCAAAATAACACCTCATAAGCATTATTTTTGAAGCATGTTCACGATAAATAATTAAAAGGGAGTAAGGATTTTACCCAGGCTGTCACCCACTTTAAAGGTCTTGCCACTAGTCCAAGTGCTATAATCCACACCACTAGCCCACCCAGAGGAGTCTCCAACGGTGTACACAGTGGCTAAGCAGCTTGGCATCATGACCACGGCAACAACCAGGACTAAACCCACAATTCTGGCCATTCTCGATGAGCCAGCTACAATGAGAGAGAGAGAGAGAGAGAGAGAGAGAGAGAGAGAGAGAGAGAGGGAGAAGAAGAAGCCTTTTGTGATGATATGATTCTAAAGAGTGGGAATTCAGTTATATAATGGTATGAAGGGGGTTGGAGTAAGTAGGGTTTGGTGGCCCTTGGTCGACTTACTTGTGATGAAATGCAACATGTTCCATCAAGGAACTCATTGCATGGGGATGACCTAGGTTAGACGTCACACCTAATGCTTTGTTAACTTATAATAATGTGACCCTTTTTTCTTTTTATTTCTTTTTGCATTGTTAATCTCTTAACTTTCACAAGAAAGAAATGTAATGATAAATAAGGCTATCATAATCTAGGTTTGTTAGGATAATGTTCTATCTTTCTTTTAAACCCCTTTCTAAGCACCAAAGTGGACTTAAATTAAAGAAATGTGATCCAAGGGTTGGTTTACTTTTAATTTGTTGTATGGCTTTGTGGATTGACCTTTCACCATCTCTTTAATGATGGATTGCGAATTAAGAAAAGATTAACATGTTATGCTTATAAGAGCTATGATTATTGCCAACGAGAATCCAAAGACAATCATAATAGACATAAAATATGTGAAAGATGGTACATTTGAAATTTTGTAGTCTTAGCACCCTAAACCCTTATTACAGACATATGGAAATGTGTTGATACTCCAAATTAGTCAGCCTGCAATACTCCCATAAAGAAATATAGGAGAGAATAACATTAAAAATGAGTACGTAATGACTTTAAGAGTGCAAATAACATTTTCCTAATAGAAATGTGAGTTTTATTGGTTTAGTATTGACATCAGGCTTAAACAAGCTGGAGGTGATCTACTTTTCATGACCCTGAATGCAAGGGTAGAGAAGTAGCAAGCCGAACTTTTTAGTGGCATGGACACATAAAAAATTCTCAACGTTGAGAGATGTTTGAGATTAAATAAGTAACTTAGTACAACAAGGCAAATTTCATTAAGAGGAATCAAAGCTCTAACAATGAGCACACTTACAAAAGTTCATGTACAAAAGTAAAATAGAAATAAGTTTAGAATCGAAGCAAGAAAATCGTATGAAGTAAA